ATCCATGATACTGGAAACTAACTACTAACAATACTCCTGTCCAGCTATTAAATTATATTAATTAAATCGCACTTAAAGGTGAGGAAATTATCATCAATTTATTCCTTATTCGAGGCAGAACACTGATGGTGAAATTCCACCATGTTCTCTCTCATTTGCTTGATAATCGTTTATTTTAATTAAATTTGGTACATATGATCTTAGTTAAATATAGTAACATAGTTATTTGGAACTGAACTTATTTTCAGATTTGGTCGCCTTCTTGAAATCAACTCGCGACCAGACAGCCAGGTGTATCCTTGGCGACAGCGAGACAGATCACGTGACAAAGCAAGCAGACGACACTGTTTTAGTAGGCTTGAAAATGGAAGAGAGACCTAGCTCGCCTCTTCTACACCCAGGGACGACTCGTATAATCAAAGCAATAGCAGATCCAGAGGTTTAAAAAGGATATAAAAAAAGAGACAGTTAGTGCTATCTGTGATAACCAGTAAGAGGCAGCTATTGTATTTTATTCAAGGCATCAAAAGTTGATAAACTGCGTAAAAAAATAAGGTCAATATAGTAATTTACTTTTAAAGTCTATTTTTATTGTACCCGAAACCTTTAGCAGGGCAGTTGAAAAGAAGAAACAAATACCAGTAACTTTATAATTATTAAGCATATTATTCAGGGATAAGTGTAAAAAGTTTATTATCTTGAACATATTCTTTGAACACAATTTGTTTCTTTTAAAGGAACTTTAGACAAAATGCAATAACCCGATATAAACGGTACCATTAACACAGAGATGAACAGAGTTGTTGCTTTTTTTAGTTAATTATTTCAAATCTTTAATCTTTAACTACAGTATCTCTCTTTCTCTCTTTCTCTCTCTCTCTCTCATGTCACAATCACATCCATGGGCAAATAAGCCCAGTAGGGCTGACAGATCTTGGAACAAATTTTCGCATGTGCATAGTTTGCACAAATAATCAGTACTACTAATAAACGTCCACGATAGTGTTAATTGATAGTCAATAAAATTATTTCATCCACTCAACAATTATTATCTTATAATGTAAGATAACACCCTTTACCATTCGTTATTAATTGAAAGTGCTCTAAATTTGTATACACCGCTCACATTAGAGTCCGCGCACTCTTAATTAACGAAATGCTATACACTGGGATATATATTATATATATATAAGGCATATTGATAAAGATAATAGACGAAGTTTTTATCCAGCGTATAATTAGTGTACCCAAAGTTCGCGCACATAACCATTACTCTGGGTGAAGAAAGCCTTTGGGCAGGTACCGCTCAGGAACAGTTCCGGTGCCCCTACATAGTAACAACACGAGCCAATGGTGCCATGGTAACGCCACTGGCCGTTATTTGTATATTTCACCTTTAGGCTGTATATGCGACTCCTCTTGTTGTAGCCAGGGTCCCAGCTGTTGATAAATATCATCCGCGTTGAGGAGGGGTTATCTGAGACATGAGCGCACTGGTCCACTGGGAAGGCTCCAGAGATGGTGGTCGACGGTTTGGAGAGAGACCCTGGAGGTTTCCCGTGACAATACCAGTTGAAGGATCTGTACTCGCATATATCATTGTCGTAGGTGGTGACGAATACCCCAGCAGGTCCGACGGAGACCCCATGTACGTATTCCCCAGGGGGTTTACCCTTGAATAACCAAGTTGGCACCCCCGGGTTGGCTGAGGTGATGAACAGGGAGTACAAGTACCTGTTGGTTCCCACGACGAAAACTTGCGTTGAGCACGTTTTCAGGTTGCACGTGGCGATGGCGGCTGGACCAATCTGAAACACAAGCAATTTTTTTACATTTCTAAATATGGCAAGTTTTCATAACCATTGGTCCCAGTTGCATAGCAGGTATTTTACTGGTCCACAAAATGTAGATTATGTTCGCACCTGGGGTTTCATGGGCTCGGGTTGACTTATTGACTTGCATCTTGTCCCATATTGTCTTTTTCACAAGGACAATTTCTATATTGTTAAAGTCTTCTTGTGGCTCTTTAGTATGCAACATTTGTGACCAATCAAATGGTGAGCATTATTCCTGCCCTGCTCCCATTATTCATCGATTGACCGAGCACCCCGTACAGCAATTTTTTCATTCATAAATGTCTTATACTGCTAGGTAAACTGTCAAATCTCATCGAATCCCTTCAATAAGGACAGAAGTTATCAGAAATAACCATAAACCATTAATCTTGACTTACGTTCTCTTTAAAATAACTTTATTGTTATTTTTTCTGAAAATACTTCAAATTTGACCTCTGGTGACCTCTGACCTCATTTGTTTACAGATTATGCAATATTACAAACTCACTTTATTGATTTGTTTAAAACTGTCTTTCAGCAGCATAGCGATACAAAAAATAATATGTTATGATCTTATGTTAGTTTCATATTATCGGTTCTTTTCTTTCCCCCTACCCCCATCATTTTTACATGTGACCATTTATATAAGCAACAGGATGTTATATAAATACCAATACATTAAAAAGCTACTGATCATAGGTACTACCGAACAAAAACTGATTTCTGACTAAACAAGTTTCCTCAGGATACCAATGAACCTTTTCCCCGAATTCTTACTGTACTGGACGAAAATTTAGAGGTCTGTCTATAAGATCATGCAGCATTGTCTCACTCACCGACGTCCCGGGTGGTGTTCCGTGGTCACGCCACACCCAGGTGCTTAATGCCCAAGACCAATAAAGTTCGTAAAGTCTGCTGTTGGTGCCCACAGCAAACACACGTGCAACACTCCCTCCCATAGTACAGGCACATCCCCAGTAACGTAAGGTCACCGAACCAAACGGTTTGCCGTGAAGAGACCACAGCCAAGTGCTGGAACCAGTGGACCAGTAGCGCTCGAAAAGTCGACCTTTGTTGCTGATGATGAAAAGTTTCCCATCGTCCAAGACACACGGGGGACCGGCCAAATATTCATTGGACCATAACCCCCAGGGAGCGCCGTGGTTAGACCACAGCCAACTGGAGCTGGAAGTTGACCAGTAGCGTTCTCGAAGGTTGCCGTTGCCGGCGCCGAAGACCTTATCGCTCCATCCAGATTTCATGTACGCCATTTCAGTGAAGACGGGAGGCTTGCCATGATTGGACCATGACCATGTGTCCAGAGCGAGACACGCGCCACAAAGGAAAAGTACCAGAATTGGAACTGTTTTAAGCAGCATTCTCGTTCACTGGCCAATGGTATGATGGTGTCCTGAAATGTTATTAAAATTATCACCTTATGGTAAATTGAGGATGAAAATCCCGTTAAGCAAAAGAAATTAAGCTGACCTTTCTATTTAAAGAAATTGCCGAAATGGCCGTGTATTTTGACGACCGTAAGTAATTTATACATGTACATGTATTGGGTATGTGCCAGTTAGCAGTGGCAATTGTTTTACATCAACAGTTAGCTTTCAAAATTTGTTAAAGACGAGTTTTTAACATGGGTTTTATTGCAAATGTTTCTCTATTGAAAAAAAAAAAAACAAAAAACAAAACGTAAGAATAATAACGGCCCAAGCTTAGCAGACTACACCACGTTTCTCAGAAATAAAAGTAAAAACTTAAAGGGCTTTGAATTCTTTTATATTGCAGCCGTAAAGCTAAGCTCTTACTCATAACTGTCACCAATACTGCATTTTTTAACTTTTCCGTTTCTTTTCTAAATTACATTTCTTTGCAAAAGAAAGCTTATTCTAGAGTATTCTTACCTCCAAATATTGTATGTTCAGCTCAGATGTCGAACTGGGATCCTGTGTTGTTTTCCTTCACTGTTTGCTGCCAGTAGTGGTTTCTTTAGAACGTTACGGTGTATTTATATACTACATGTAGCTGCCGCCAGTCTATTCGGTTTGAGGACAGATGGTAGATTTAAATTGCCCCTGTTTCATTAAGGGTAATGGTGTATTTTTATGTAATTTTATTTCAGCTTTAACATTCAGATTCTCTCGAGGCAAAGGAAGTTAATGGGTTTATTTGAAATACTTCACTCACAATTATCTCAAGTAAAGGAATCTTGTTAAGTATTCTGTCAACATACGTCTTACTTCAAGATGTTTTCACTGCGCAGATCAACGTGTTTGGGCTCATTCCCATAGACCTTTTTATATTGTACTCAACGCCAGGGGGAGACATGTCATTCAATTAAGCTGATTGCACTTAGCCAGAGCACCCGCAGAGTTGGATCGATTTACGTAAACCGATCGTGTCTATGCGAATGAGTCCTTTGATCCGGGCGTTCAATAAACGATGCGCTGACCCCCAAACCCCACATCTTTCTGAAATATTCTTAAAAGTACGGTTCAAGCCGCAGGATATGCGGTACCAAAGATTCCGAAAGGACATTGGATGTTATCCTTGGTTTCTTGGCTAATATTTTATGCGTGGATTTGGGATTCGGATTATACTAACAGTATGACAATATCAATACTCTTAGTCCATCACTAAATAAAAATGCAACTGCGTTTATTAACATTTGCGGATCCATTTTTTATGTTTTTTTTTATAATAGAAAACATAATAGAAAATCTAACTTTGAATAAACTAACATGTTTTTAAATTAATCTAGTCATTTTTCTTTTGTTTTTCTACCTTCACTTACAACACGCAGACACACTACTAAACCACGCCTCCGTTGTCAAGGGCCGTTGCTATGACCTTGCTACGGGGCAGAGTAAAGTTAATAACGCTTGTAAGTTATAAGCGCAATATCTGTGCGGTAAAAAAATAAAGAAGTTTACGCATTTAATCAGACTTCCCATGGGAAAAAAGGAAAATTATTATTAAAGGAATATTTGCTGAAAACATATATCATTACACTATCTGTGCCATTTTAAATGACTTATGGCTCTAACATCAGTGGTGTTTTCAATTATAATCCGAAGCATTAATGTAAATTTCCGTAGTCCGAAGACTTATTTCCTCCTTGATGTGCAATTCAAATTTCAATATAAAATTTAAATTGATCAAAGCAAGGCAGTTAATGGGTATGTTTTTAAAACACTTTACTTAAACTATTGAATGAAATCTCCGTTCTGTGACATTTGCGGATCAAGGATTTTTTGTGTATAATCAAAAACGTATCTTACCTTGAATAAGTTAACATGTTTTAACCTAAAGTACACAGCTTTTTTGTTTTTTTCTTCCTACACAGAACACCCAGACGCTACTAAACCACGTCTCCGTTGCCAATGTACTCTGCTATGACCCTGCTGCGGAGGGGGGAGCAAAGTTTTATTGATAGTTTATAATTTAATCTAGTAAGCCAAATATCTTTGAGGTAACAGATTATATCTTTTCACACAAAGACCTCCCATGGAGAATTTTTTTAATCAGAAGAATATTTGATGAAAAAATAATATATCTCGACTGATATTCTGTTCCTTATCAAATGACCTAAGGCCAGTGTTATTTTCAGCTGTGTTTATCATACAAAACATTAATGTAAGTTTCCTTAGACTGAAGACTATTTCCTCGTGAGATTGATGTGCAATTCAAAAATTTAATATACAATTCAAATTTCCCCAAGGCAAAGGAATGTAATGGGTTTATTTTAAAATACTTTCCCAAAATTACCTCAAACAAGGTGACCTTGGTAAATGTAGGTATTTCTGACTATTGTCCTTCATAGCACAAGTCAACATGTTTTGGCTCATTTCCATAGATTTTTTGTATTAGCTAGAGTCCCTGTAGAGTTGGATCAATCTACTAGACCGATTGTGTCTGTGGGAACGAGCCCCTTGATCACGGCATTCAGTAAACGATGTGCTGACAACCACACACATGTTATTTAGCGTCCAGACCGTGTACTTCTGAAATATTCTTAAAACTAAGGTAGAAGCTGAAAAATATACAGGACCGAATATTTCAAACGGACATTGGGCGTTTTCCTAGGTTTCAGTACTTGGTTTATATAGCACAGGAATAAAGTATACTGTCTCGATATGAGAACAAGGTCACCCAGACGATTTGACAAAGTTTAAGCCGGTAATTGCTACAAAATTTCAACTAAGCTAATTAATAGGCCCAGCAGAACTTATTTCTTAAATTTAATTATTACTGAATATTTAAATAAAAACCAAGAAGTATTTTGAATGACCACATGATCGAATTTTATAAAAATGTTCCAATTTTTACGAGGCTATAATTCGTGTCTTATAATTTAATGCCCTTGCCTCGCTTTCGAGAAACTTGAGGTGTCGGTCAAAACGCGGAAGTAAAAGTTAAAAAATATTATGTTGGCTAATTTTGCCCTAGCAGGAGGGTTTACCTCCCACATCAGGTGGCTGGAAGGTCTCTTCAGAACTAAGATTATAGAGTATTTTGCCACCGATGCATTACCCGAAATTAACCTTCCTTCGTTTTTAAATGCATTTTGCAATATCATTTTCAATACTGCATATGGAGTATTTTCTTTATCAAGAAAGGGGAAAGATGCTGAAAAAAAGGAATTAGATACATAGCCAAGCAAGCCAACTCTACACCATAGCCCTCTTCCCCTCTCAACGGAATCCTCGCCCAACTTATTGTTCCCCACGATCGATTGCTCATAGTGCATTGGGTGAGTTTATAGAGTACCTTAGTTACGTCATTCTCAACTAAGGCATCGGCAATATGACATTTGGAGTTGGTTCGCAAAAGATTGCATAATAATAAGTGTGTAAAGAAAGTTTGGAGCAGTCCCATGAAGCAAAACACACTGCAGAATTATTACTAAAATTCAACAACATGTTGAAGGGTAAAGGATGCCAATTCGGCGAAATTGTTCTCACGCGAATATTTTTTAATAATCAGTAAAACAAATAAACTTTCACGGTAGTCTTAATTGGCATGATATTCTATTTCACCTACTCAACATTTATTATCTAATAATGTATGGAAGCATTCTTTTACATTCGATACTATTTCAAAGTACGCTAAATTTGTATGGTTATCTATTACACGGCGTACGAAATGTTCCACTGGAATATATCTCAAATTCAGAGAAATATAGTGAAAGATAAAAGATAAAGCATTTTTAATTAGTGTACCCAAAGTTCGCGCACATAACCATTACTCTGGGTGAAGAAAGCCTTTGGGCAGGTACCGCTCAGGAACAGTTCCGGTGCCCCTACGTAGTAACAACACGAGCCAATGGTGCCATGGTAACGCCACTGGCCGTTATTTGTGTTTTTCACCTTTAAGCTGTATATGCGACTCCTCTTGATGTAGCCAGGGTCCCAGCTGTTGATGAAAATCATCCGCGTTGAGGAGGGGGTATCAGAGATCTGAGCGCATTGGTCCACCGGGAACGCTCCAGAGATGGTGGTCGACGGTGTGGAGAGAGACCCTGAGGGTTTCCCGTGACAGTACCAGTTGGAAGATCTGTACTCGCATATATCATTGTCGTAGGTGGTGACGAATACCCCGGCGGGTCCGACAGAGACCCCATGTACGTATTCCCCGGTGGGTTTACCCCTGTAATACCAGGTTGCCACCCCCGGGTTGGCTGAGGTGATGTACAGGGAGTACAGGTATCTGTTGGCTCCCACGACGAAAACCTGCGTTGAGCACGTGGCCAGGTTGCACGTGGCGATGGCGGCGGGACCAATCTGAAACAATCAATATTTTTTTTCATACATGTATTTCTGAACATGACGAGTCACCGCAAGCATTGCTTGCAGTTGCATTGTGTTTTTGTATTGTTTAACAAACGTGGGCTCAGATTGACTTATTGAATAGTATCTTGTGACATATTGTCCATTTCACAGGGACTATATTTAGATCTGTTACTGGAAGTCTCCTTACGGGTTCCACTGAATTACTGGGCTATCCTCGTCTGGTCCCAAGTTGTAACCATCGGCTAGCCTTAGAGGGTATCACAAAATTCAATAGCATGTTAGCACGTAAAACGATGGGACTTTGCATATAGAGACGCTCCTTTTACTATGGAATCTACCCTGATGAGAGGGGCACTGTCCTTTAAATTTAATCTAACGTCAATAATAATAATAATAATAGTTATAACACGATAACATATAAACGATACGATAATATACATATTTAGCAGAAAAGATTCATATCATCCTTTCTGTTAAACATTACAGCAAGTATTGACATGAACATGCAGCATTGTCTCACTTACCGACGTCCCCGGTGGTGTCCCGTGGTCTCGCCACACCCAGGCGTTTGAAGACCAGGACCAATAATGTTCGTAAAGCCTGCTGTTGGTGCCCACGGCAAACACACGTGCAACGCCCCCTCCTCCCGAGGTACAGGCACACCCTGAGTACCGCAACGTCACCCAACCGAACGGTTTGCCGTGAATCGCCCAGAGCCAGGTGTTGGAACCCGTAGACCAGTAGCGCTCGAAAAGCCGTCCTTTGTTGCTGATGATGTAGACCCTTCCATCTTTCATGACACACGGGGGACCGGCCAAATATTCATTGGACAATAACCCCCAGGGAGCGCCATGGTTAGCCCATATCCAGCTCCAGCTGGAGGTGGACCAGTAGCGTTCTTGAAGTTTGCCGTTGCCGACCCCGAAGACCTTATCGCTCCATCCAGATTTCATGTAGGCCATTTCGGTGTAGACGGGAGGCTTGCCGTGATTGGCCCATGACCACGTGTCCAGAGCGAGGCACGCGCCACAGAGGAAAAGTACCAGAATTGGAACGGCTTTAAGCAGCATTCTCAACCACTTGTCAAATGTATGTGGAGCCAGTCGGTGTCCTGAAAGATTATACAAATCAACACCTTGGTGTTAATTAAGAATAAAAGCCAAGGAGCCTGTTTGACAAAAGAAATTAAGCCGAGCTTGGTTTTAAAGAAATTACCGATAAATCCGTGTGTTTGGACCATTAAAAACTATGATCATCCGTAAGTTATGTTGATTGGGCATTTGTCACTACAAATAAGAAATAACATATATATCATATCAACAGTTGCTGTTTTTTATCTTTGTTTTTATAATTTGTTTAAGACCAACTTTCAATATGGGATCTCTGTCACAAAACGTACGAATAATAGCGGCCCAAGCTTAGCCTAGTACGTCTCGTTTTTCGGAAAAAATCTTGAAGACTTAAGGGATTTAAACACTTATTTTGCGGTCTTTACACTAGGCTCTTACTCATAACTGTCACCAATACCTCATTAATTTTAATCGTTGCCATATCCTTTCTTTCAAAGAGTTTATTGCAACAGGTAGCTTATTCTAGAGAAGTCTTACCTCCAAATATTGAATGTTCAGCTCTGCCGTCGAAACGGGAACCAGTGTTGTTTTCCCTGTGTATGTTGCCAGCTGTGATTTCTTTAGGACGTAATGGTGTATTTATATATAATTTAGCTGATGGTAGTCTATTCAGGAATATTCTATACAGGACCTACGGCCAATTTATCTTGCTTTGGTTTCTTTATGGCATCATTATGCATTTTTCTGTAATTTAGCTCTCGGCCCGCTATTAAATTGCACCGGTTTCTATGCCGTGTTCAAAAAGCGAAAAGAAATTTGTTGACGCTTTGAGGAATCAACACATTCGCTCTTATTAAGCTGTCTACAAGGGGGCAAATGTCTTAAATTGATGGTTCAGGCAAACAAAGACCCACCCCTTTATAACGGTACATACATACAGAAAAAAGTAAATCCCAAACTTTCACCAACAAGAAATTAAATTTTCACGAGGATCAATGTCTACCCATGGAGTTAGCTTATCTTTTGGAGAAATATCTCACAGTGCACTTCGTCGTGACGTAGACTAGGCAGCAGGAAAATAAGTCTTGACCAGCGTATCTAGGGACTGGGGGCTTAATTATAAAAACCTTTACTGCCATGAGAACACCTTTAACGGTCTTTTCAAAGCTTAAACCTGTCATGCATTGCGCCCAACCGAATACTATATGGCAATTGTTAGTCTTGGTTAATGGAGGTATATGTCAGGATATTTTTGTATTATTTTGACCAGTTTTAAGAAACCGTGGACCCCCGAGATCTACCTCTGGGAACGTCAGGGCCGGAAGATATCCTCACATAATTTAATGAAAACCAAACTTAAACTGTAGAAACGTCGTTTTGTTTATTTTTTTTCTTCTGAATCTTTTTAGTATTGAGAATTTTAAAAGTATATTTTGCCTTCAGGCATTTACCCCGCTCTGATATGTGACTGGAATACCTACTAGTACGTCACAGTCTCGCTAGGTACACTGCATTGTGGGATTGATTTGAGTAAATAACTTGGATCTACGTGGAAAGAGCGGTTCCTTTAAAATTTCTGCATTTATTATTTTCTATTGATTCACAACGGTAGTAATTAGTACGTGTTACTTACTTAAAGATGTTTTCATTGAGTTTGGTTTTTATTCATGTTATTGGAGTTTTTTAATAATCAGAAAAGCATCTAGAATGAACTGATCTGTTTTTAACCTAAATTCTAATTTTGTTTTATACCTGCACATACAGCACACAGACATTTAAGTTAATCACGCCTCCTTTTTATTTTTTTAATGTATTTATTTATTTATTTACGTATAATTATTATTATAATTTTTGAGGGGGGTTAAATAAATGACAGTCAATGAGTTACCAGTATAAGCCTAATATTCGTGCAGAACAGTCCAAAGGTTTTACGTCTGCCACACACGAAAGAAGTCTCCCCATGAGAAAGAGGAAAATTATTATCAATAAAAAATTCGCTGAAAAAAGACAGAATATAACTGTACGGATATTGTGCCATTCCAACCGCCTTATGACTGGACCACCATTGATGATTTCAACCGCAATTACAATACGAAACATTAATGTAGATCTCCGTAGTCCGAAAACTTCATATACAATTCAAATTTTAACATAAAATTCAAATCCGGCCAAAGTACTAGGAGTTAATGGGTTTGTTTTTAAATTCTTTACATAAAATTATCTCATGCAAGAAACCATGGATGGTAAGGGGTGTGACAACATACATCTATATTTTTGACTGTTTTCACTGTCCATATGAACGTTTTTGATCGGAGAGTTCATTGATATGATGCAATATACAGAGGTATCATGCGACCAGATACTTTTTCCCTCTCATTCCACCCCTTCAGAATAATATTTCTGAAAATATATGGTGCAAGGTGAAGGATACTTTGTGCTGAAGTTTTCCAATGGACATTGGAGGTTTCAGTTGGTTAAGTTCTTGGTAAATATCCAGTGCCTGGAGTGCCTGGATATGCACACAAAATAGACTGTTCTAACAGACACGACGATATCAGAAATTTAAGTCCACCTTTGAATAAAAGAGAACTCAGTTTATTAACACTTAGTCTATTAACACTAAATTCTTGTGCTTTCCTAACGTTTTCATAATCAGAATCATGCCTTACTGTAAATAAACTAACTTGAATTTAGCCTAAACTTGACAGGCATTCATTAGATTTTCAACGTGTGTGAACAGCATCCAGCCCCGTTACTAGACCACGCCTTCTTTGTCACGGGCAGATGCTATGACATTGCTGTGGGGAGGGGAGGGGCCATAGTTATTGGGAGTTTATAGGTTATAAGCCCTTTATATCCAAACCCGTTATTAAACCACTCCCCTTTGTCACAGTTGCTATGAAATTGCTATGGTTGGGGAGGGGCCTAAGTTATTGACATTATCTCAAGCAAAGAAACCATGATAACAGTTTTGACAATTTTGGTGCCCATGTCTATGTGCTTGACTGGAAAGTTCAATACAATATGATGCACTGACACAAACCAACGCCACCTCTTACTGAAATAATTCAATGTTTTCAACCGCAAATAAAATACAAAACATTAATGCAAATTTCCGTAGTTCGACGACTTATTTCCTCGTTGATGTACAATTCAAATTTTGATATAAAATTCAAATTCAACCTCGGCAAGGCACTTAATGGGTGTTTTTTTAAATACTGCATTCAAAGTTGTCGCAATGATGGAGATATTTTTTGACAAATAACACCTTTACTTTCATCTTTAATTCACTGCATTACTATTATGCCGGTGGTGCTTACATACGTATATTAATACGATATCTCTTTACGGACATGAGTCGATTTTGGTTCTTCGGCAATTCTTCAGCAATTCGTCAGTTTGGGTTTTGAAAGGAGTCTCACCCCAGTGCTGCCAACACTGGAAACTGAATGTGGAAATCAAGAATCAATTTTTCACCATTTCTGATTTAGTTCAGATCCGGCTGCTACCTGGCCATTCTGATCTATAAACAGAGGCCTCGCTTTGTCGTTAACCACCACCCTTCCCAAACAGACGAAATGAAACTGGGTCTGAAGGTTTATCGTTGTGCCAAGGTTATGGTTATGGTCACCGAGCTGACCTGTAACTTTGATATCAGATTTATTAAGAAGCGGACCCGATCTGAATCTTCTTTCTTTGAAAAGTGGCTTAATTATGATGGTATAATAAATCTTTCCATATGCCGTTATCACGGATTTGAGGAGAATTGTTCCGCATTCTCCGTAGCCACTAGTCCATATATACCAGGAGTGTCACAAATTTAGATAAACGTGCCTTTTTGAACGTATGTCACCACAATTTATGACTGCAGCCATTTTTGATAATTATCCTCAATCTGGCTGAGGGAAACTGATGGCCTAAAGCAAAATGCTTGTTATTATATTTTTTAATGTTACACGTCAGTACACTGGCAGATGTATTGCGTTGTTGAATTTCTTTATTGCATTATAATAACACCTTGGTTTTGTGCAAAGTAAGCTAATTTAAGTAAAGCTTGTCGAATTTCAACTGAATTTGAAGAGTGATTTAAAATGGTGGTAAAAAATACACAAATCTCGTGATTAAAGACGCGACATTTATAAATAATGTATCATTTCACATAAAATACATCATTCATCACTGCAACGTACAAGTGTTTAATCACCATTTTGTTAAAACATAACTACATGTAATATTGGTACTCTAAACTTTTTTATCATTGATTTATAGTCCATTAATCATGTAGAAGGAACTACGTGTTTTTCATTTCGTCTTGGTCAAACCAGGAAACTGTTTTTAACCAGAACAACAACATGACTCATCAAGATCATTAATGCCAGTGGTCCGGTTTCATGGTATATAAGGACGAGTACGGTTCGTGGCACCTTATTGACCGGAGGCTCTTTCGCTAAAAACGCTTTTTTTGTTTAAAGAGACCGCTTAGAGATGGAAAAGCTGTTGGTTCTAAGTTTTCTGATAGGTGAGGACGTTATAACGTGGCACTCATATATAAAGGTCTTATTTCATAGTTTTAGGGTGTTTTACTATTGCAGTTTAAATATACAGTTTAAGTATACAAGCATGGTACATTTTAAAGGTCTTTTCACAAGACCTACTTAATTAAAAAAATAGCATCCTAAATGATGAAAAAAAAAAAACAAAAACAAATTGTTGTCTGTTACAGCCGCGGTCTGTGGGGAAGCAACCTGGGACCACTACGACTACAACTACAACTATCTCGACGAAATGGCCGAATCTTTCTGCACTTCTGTCGCTCCTGCAGCAAGTATGGTGTATGCCGTGAGGCGTAACTGCTCTGGGCAGACACCTTCGTGTGACGGCGTGTGCAGAGCGCTTGCCGGGACTATGAGGGAAGATGTGAAAGGAAATATGGGATATAGCGGGTAAGTTTCTACGTCTTTAAAGATTCAGTATTGATATGTTAGCATGATTTATACTACTATTAATAATACTATTAATAATAATAATAATTTATCCAGCTTACAAAGTTACATGTTAATACTGCTGGTTGTGTATGCTACTGGACGACAGTTATAACTACTGGGCGCACTGAAGTTGCGGCGATATCATCGTATTTTTATTCATTTAATAATCTATTTATATTGTCTCAGAAATGAACATGGACAGTAGGTAGCGGTTCTTGGATATCATGATAAGAATCTCCTTGAAACCATAAGTTTACTTTGGCTTTCGGCATGGGCCAGTAATGCTCCAGCTTAATAAATCTGTATCTTCACAATTTCTCGTTTCGTTTAGATCCGGCTGCTACGAGGCCATCCATATATACAAACAGAGACCTCGCTTTGCGGTTAACCATGACCATCCTCAACCGGACGCAATGAAACTGGGACTGAAGATTTATCGTTATGGACAGCGGGCTGGGTGCGGCTGGAAGGCAAACCACTGCGGACCAAACTACTGTTGCTGTAGAGTTTGGTGAAAAGCAAAGTAAACCGAGAATAGACGAACTGAATTAAAGTCGTACAGATTGAATGCAGAATGCCTACAGAACAATGCTGAAACTCAATCTTGAACTTGTAGTCAAAGTTTATAATATGACATTGATGATGATAATTATAAAATAGTGAGGATGATGATGCATTTTTATTGACAACCAAAAAATTAACATTCACAGTGAAAATGCAATAGAAATCTAAAATACAAATTGGATTCAACCAAAATTATATTTATGTATTAAAATACTTGGACTTCAGATTAAAGCGATATTTAAAAATGGAATTAGGTCTACTGATTTTTTAGGGTAATTTTTTTTGCTTGAGTAAAATAAAATATTTATCTTATAATTTGCAAAATCATATTACCTCTTCTCCTAAGGGTATTGTAACCCATATTATTATCCAGTTGCCGAGGATGAGATTTTTCCAGCAACTTATTATTCAGTAATGCATCTTTCTTTGTGCTGATTTAAAACAATAAAAATTCCCTCGAAAATTCAAAATATCGGCGTTCTTTGTTGTAATTTATAAGCATAGGTAGCTCAAAGTTTTAATCGTCAATTTAATAGCTTTCTATTTTAAGGTGAGATAGCAATCAGTATGGGACCTATCTTCATCCCTGAACAAGATTTTACAACGAAAATTGACAGAGTTGACAATGAGTGTATCGGCTACAATCTTGTGGCGTCATTTTGGTTTAAATGTTTTTCTAATGTAGTTATGTACCCCTCATTACAGATTTTCATTAAAGAAAGGCGCTATTTTGTTTTCTTACGATAAAATCTGAACTAAGACTTTTAAAAAGAATCGCTTGCAGGCTTTAAGAGTAATAAATAGTGTCATTAAGTCGGCTTCGAAACGTTGATCGTGGGTGATGAGGTAAAAAAGAAAATTGAGAAACCGATTTTCAGTTTTATCCCAAATCGCAATTATGACATCACGCGTAAGATGTGAGATTGTTAATTAGTTTCGTCACTGGACACTGATGATTTATCTACTACCCCAGAGAATGTATGTTATGCAATAAATAAGGAGTTTTGGGCGAAGGGTGACAATATTCTTTGGAAGGTAGGTTAAAATTTAAAAAAAAAACTGAACGAAGACAATTTTAGTGCAATAAATCGCGCACAGGGACGGAAATGAGCTTCTTGTCTGTCATACTGCTTTTTATTAAGGAGACGTGTTGGTCCAGTGTTCGGTATATACCTGTATATATATATAGAAAGTCTTCCCCAACTAGTTATGTGACACATGCACAATCCACTACAAAGTGTGCTAGTTGTGCGATACAATTTACAACATTGTTTAATTTTGTGCACTACACTGTATTTGAGAAGCCCTCGATATCAGACGGTGACAATCCTAACTCCGCCCCCCCCCCCCCTAAATCTGAAGCCCCACGTGCTCTGACACACTATGTTCAGGTAGAAGGGTCAAAAACAATAGCGATGGCATGATTAACTACACTTGAGGTGGTTGGAAGAATAGTTTATCAGAAGACCTCGACATAGTTTTGAGACTGTCACGAGGTGATCAACGTCTCGCATCTTCACCATTTTGAAAAGAGGTTTCTTCACGCATAGACGTGTTTGTGAGATCCTGCCCATTCTGTTTCAAATTATGTGACAATATATATATAGGACGCAAGGATAATGGTTAGATTCTACTTTTGAATGATGAGAGTTTTGCCTGAAACTATTTTTCGGTGAAGGAATTTGATTAGTTTAGTGATATATATTCAGACATGCAACTACTGATGTAGATCTTAAGTTTCGCAGCGACACTTTAGTACACGCACAGCAGGAATTGTAGTCACTGAAACTGACTTCATCTTTTTGACGTCGTGCATATTCTGGACAAAAAAAACTACTTCTACTGATTTTATATGCATCGAAATTATTTTTGACCGGGACATTTCAAGAAGGAGAGACATCCGGGCTAAGCTGGTTTTCAAGTATTTATAGGAGCTGTGAGCAAGATAACATTTTGCTTGGTAGTTTAAAGAAACTCGAGCGCAGAAAGTCAAAGTCAAAGTCAAGGCCATGCGGTGACGGAATCAGGTAGGGGGAGTGGTTACCGTAAAAACTATTGATCGGTTAATTTGCACATATGGCGTCAAGACGAACATTATATATATATATATATATATATATATATATATATATATATATATATATATATATATATATAGCAAAATCGAAGTACAATTACCAATGAAGGGAAGTCTGTTGAACACAATGCCTCTCACTTTGTATCAACATTATTTGCACACGGTTATAATTTTGCATTTTGAGTACGTTGCTTGAGAATTTTTTTTTGGTTTCCAGCTACTCTGCTTACGCGTAAAATACCTCTACTGTTGTAAGAAACCTGGGAAAGTAAGCCCAGGACCGAAGAAAACAGCATGACAGCATATCGTTTTCAAAATAGATAATCAGCTTTACTTAGACAAAGATATACTATTAAATACAACATGCGTCAGAAAACTTATACATGTATATCATGCGAAAACGTCCATGTTTGAGTCAATATGTCATTTGAAATACAATATGCGTTATTCCGGTAGGTTTTGCTGAAGTTTCATTTTGTAATTTCAGTTAAATTCTAGTAGCAGACGAAATATGGTTGGTAATGTGCAGGATATCGTTTTATGGCATATGTTATATTGCTAAAATAACTCCGCAGTCTTTGTAATTGTTTATAAGGTATTGATCGGTTTCCTGGACCTATATCCACCTTAAAGACAGATAACATACTTATTGTGATGAATTTTGTTTGCTATTAAAATTTGAAAAACAGGTAATCTGAATTGCTTGATACAATCCACAGGCTGTCACAAGGTGATAACCTATGAATTGTATTAATAGGTTATCACGAGGTGATATATGCCCCAGGTGGGTGGAGCGGTAACCATCAAAACTATTTATCTCGCTGCTTATTTGCATATATATATTTAACTGATTTAACAAAGATGGCGAACACACACACACACATATATAACAAGAAAGATTTCCCATCAAAATACCTAAATCAAAGCACAGTAACTAATTAGAAAAGGGAAAGGTGTTGTACGTATTGAACAATGTGTGTTATAATAACCTGTAATGTTTAAATGAATATATCTTTATTATTTGCACACGTTAACATTTTTACTTTTTGCGTAAGTTAATTATAGTCTGTAAAAGAGTTACACGCTCCACAAAGGATCCTCATGTCAGTATCTATTCACAGCAATGGTCGCTGTTACGTCTGATCTCTTCTAGCTGCCAAGCGGCAAGGCATTCCTTGGGATAGGTTTTTAAAGTTCAATCTGGAATAACATTCCAGGCATCGGTCAAAAATTGCCCAATTTGGTTCAGTTTTGCTGTAGGACATGTAGGCCGTTGATTCAGCGAGTAATGGCCTACTCACATATTGTCTATGTGGTTCAAATTTGGCAATTTTGATCACCAAGGTAGCTCCTCATTTCTTTGGTTCTGTAAGTTATCTGCTATTAAAAGTGCTAGATGTGTTAACCGGCAATCTCACCGTGCAACCTAAAATTGTTCTTAAGGTGTCCCCTGTCAAATGATAGCCAAATAGTTCCCAGATTTTTCCTTTATTTGATCTGGTGCAGGTTTTCGTCGATGACAACCATTGGTGTTTTGGCACCAACGTGGTTGGTATCCACTCCAAAATACTGACGCTGTCAATGACCCTTGTCACTTTAGACGTGGCACACGCTTCGCCGTGGGCCTGCTCTTGATGTCTGTAAACTCTGTTTGACTAGTTAAGCGGTACAGGTGAAATCCGACCTCAATAAAGAAAGCCACGCGGTTTCAGTGTTTTACCCAGAAACGGTCATGGTCCCCAATTCATTAGAGAAACAGACGGCGATGTTTTGCTGTTAATAGTGATATCCTCGGAGACCGCCTGGTATTCTAACCTGTTAAAACCAGTTCGGTATTCGCAAAGGGCCTTAAAAATGCGTTTTGGTAGCAATTTACCCCTCATTCGGAACGGACTGGGTGGTTTTTGTTTAGTTGCAGCAGCAGCATATCCCGAAAGACAATGGGTCCTGTACCCTGGTGGTAATATCACAGGGAACACTTTGGTCTGAGTTACTTCTCCAGCAGGTAACACAACAGCAGTGATATGTTTTCCAGAGAACAATTACAAACTGACTTCTCTCTACGTATATTTCTCTGGCTGAGAGATCTGGAGTCTCCTAAGACAGCAGGGACAATCCAGCTATCGGTTTGACTGACCAAACTCACTCTGAGCTCTGATCTCCAATCTCTCTCTGATCTCTAATACAAAGTTCTTCTCCTTATATACTAATACACACAAAATACATTACAGTGATTCCTAAAACAAGTCAGAGATGTTGAAGCCAATTAACAGAATTAAGACATATTACAAGAGACTTTTAACATAATTAAAGTCAGACTGCTTTAAACTCCAACTTGGGGATTAAGCCATAAATAAAGTTATTCAATCCTTTTAAAACTGAAAACATCCTTTAAAACTTGGTAACAGTTATTTCCAATGAATAACATACATTAACAGATTCATAAAATGTCATTATAAAAGAGACATCTGAACAATCTTTACCAAATGTTGATTTAATTTGATTTAAATGTGGAAGTTTCTAAAATGAAGTTTGGCCGTGAAATCACCACTATGACAGTAAGATTCCGATACATTGGGTATGGCCTCTGTGTAGGTACATCAGTCTGGGCATTACTCTATAAAACTGTGCGGACCGTTCTGTTTGGCGCAATAATCTGTCTGGCAATGTCTGTCTTTTTCGCGCCATTCTGCAACAGATTAGCAAATTTGTAAATTACTGCTTAACTCATTTCACGCACTGTTAAACCGACCGCTTGCATGCAAACTTTCAAATTCTTCTATGTAGTTGTTGCCGACATATGGATATTTTTTGACAGAACCATGATTTAACAAAGCCAAGCCTTGACCAGCCCAAAGGAGCACTACCCAATTAAATCACTGCACATTACATAATACAGCACGCAACGGAAAAGGTAATCACTTAATTGGTAGAGACACACCTGACTACACACTTTCTCATACACATATCTTATATAAGATAGGGATTTTTTGAAAAAAGAACGCATTTTTACCTAGGCACATCTTCAAAACTGAAATATTCCATATTAAATGTCAAGTCTGTATACTACCTACATATGAAATTCTAAGTATCATGTGAAAACGTCGATATTTGAATCTGACAATCATTTATAAATAGGAAACCCATTATGTATCTTACAACAGAATATTAAAAGACAACGCAACGGAGGTTAGTTGAGAATCATTAAAAACCATTAAAAAGGACCCTTTTGGAATAGGTGAATACAGAATATATCAATCAATTGCACAAACTGTCTTCGCTCACCCGTATGTGTGGTTAATGCACTGAAGTATGTTTGCAAAGTCTGAAAAATCGGTTATCTGAATAACTTTTAAGCTATTGTATTAAAATACAATGTACAGAGTGTCACGAAGTGATCACAAAGTTCAACAAATAGGTTATTAATTAATTAATTATCAGATGGACTTTGTCTAATTTACATAGTTTCTGGACTGTCATGCGGGGACCATGAAGTTTGACAGATAGGTTATAAATTAATTATCAGATGGACTTTGTTTAGTTTACATAATTTAGAGACTATCACGCGGTGATCACCAAGTTCAACAGATAGGTTATCGGGTGGGCTTTGTCTTAGTTAGGGACCATTCCCACAGATATTTGGATCGATCTATCTCCTTGCTTCTTGCTAAATTGCTTTCTGTCACACATAGTAAAGTTGTTAGGGGGTAACTATCTTTACCCTAGCTGGTTCGGTAGGCGTGACAGACACTTAAGCCGGTTAAGTTGATAGCAATTTAGTAAGACTCCCCAGGGAGTTAGACCGATCCAGATGGATCGATCTAGGCATGGAAACACAGTCTTAGAAACAGTCACGAGGTGAGTACCACCTCCCGTCTCCGTCATTTTGAAGAGACGTTTTTGTCGTACAAACGTGTGTAAAAGAGCCTGTTTCAATTTGACAAATTCAGCGAGAGTAGGCCACGTGTTCAAAAGCTTGCCTCCATCTTAATCAGTGCGATTCCTTTTATATTTTACTGAGGTTTTTTTTGTGTAACTTACGATTTGTTGCGGATTTGTTGTGATATTATAAATACTATCTTATTTGAAACTGACTCTAAATTTTAATGGCTATGCTGTAATGCCAAGAACCGCAACTGTTCATAATTAAATGGCGGTCCTCGGCGAGTGTAGCTGGTGAGTGTAGCCGTTTGGATCCCTGTAAATCAAAGGAGTGTTGGCTCACTAAGCAAATCTTTATATAATATTACGTTCCCGCGGCTCCCTGTTGTATTGCCTCCATAATAATCCACCTGATTGAACCTGTTTATTGTTTCCACCCGCGTCTCTTGCGCATCTCCGTGTTTAGGACAGATAGAAAGAAAGTCCCTCATGCTAGAAATGCTGTAAATTAGAGGCATTTTTGTGATCGATTGATCCTTCAGGTAGGCCCCTTAAATTTTGGTCAGTTGTTACCAATCAGGTGACCGAGGTTCACTGGTTTCTTGTGAAAGCTCATTAATCAGAAGTCAGATTATGTGCGGTACCACTTTCAAATCAGTAGCTATCTCTAAGTGGTCTTTTCATAACACACTGTTGCTTTAATGCCTCGTCTATAAAGATGTGGAAGGAAACATCAATAATATGAAAACAATATAAAATAAAGCAATAATTTTTGTATCATTATGCAGCTGAAGGATAGTTCTAAAGAAATCAGTAAAGTGAATTTTGTAATATTGCATAATCTGTAAACAAATAAGGTCTGAGGTCAGCCGAGGTCAAATTCGGGGCATTTAAGGAAAAATAAACTAATAAGGTTATTTTTTAAAGGGAATGTAAGTCAAGATTATTGTTTTGTGGTTTTTTTCTGATAACGTTTAACCTTATTTAAGGGATTTCATGTGGTTTTACAATTAGCTGTATGAGACATTTATGAATGACATTAAGTGCTGTATGGGTGTTCAGACAATTGATAAATAGGCCTAATAAGGGTAAGGGAGGAAATGCTCACCATTTTATAGGTTTGTTAAATATTAATAAAAGGTATGCTCATTTATTTAGCTGAAGGATAGTATTTTTTGTGTAAGTTAGCAATTAGTAGGTCAAAGGTCACCTGAGGTCAAATTTGAGGCATTTTCAGGAAATATTAACCAAAAAAGGTTATTTAATTAAGCGGATTAAAATGAAAAATAATGTTTTGGATTATTTTTTATAAGTTGGTCTATATGTAAGGGAAATGTTGAGATTTTGACTGTTTATTTTCCAAATGGAGACATTTTTGGAGGCAACAAGAGCTGTAGAGGGTGTTTTGTTCAAGTTTTGAATAATGGGGACGGGGGAGGAAAAATGCTCACCATGTAATTGGTTGCTAGATATTAATTCAAATTATCCTCATTTATTTTGCTAAAGAATTGCTCTAAAAGGTAAAGTAACCAAAATATATATTATTGTGCAATATAGCAATTTAAGTATGTAAAAATGCAAAGGTCATCTGAGTTCAAATTTAAAACATTTTCAGGAAAAATTAATCAAAAAGGTATAAAATCAAGGGAATGGAAATTAAATATAATGCTTTGGATACCCCCCCCCCTAAAAAAAGATGTTTCGTTTAATTTCTGAATGAATTCTGAATTAATGCTATGTAAAGGATTTCTTCGGCTGTTTAAAAACTCAGCACAGAAACAGCCTGTTTTAACCAATAGTTTTAACCACAAGTTAATTTGCGCTCCACTTTTTCGGTGTCCATCGTGTTGCTTTCATGGGGGAAAGCTGAGCTCATTGTACATGTAATCTGTGCACGCACGACAGGAATTGCCGTAATAAAACTTACCCCGGCGATGTATGTTTTTACCTTGTTGATGTTATGTACAAAAACTATAATTCTACTTAAGTTTCTCTGGGAGTAATATATATATGCATTATTTTTAGATCAGGATGCAGGAGCACCACGACCGTGTTGACTTCAAAGAATCTATAGGATCACTCCTTGATGCGACTTTTTCTGGATGGCAAAGAAACTCAAGAGCAGAAGGTCACGCGGTGACGGAATCAGGTAGGAGGAGCGCTACTAGCTGACAAAAGTATTCACCCCCACCTTTAATTATGACATCTCTCTTTTCAGTTGATTTTCATTTTGGTATTATAATTTATCAACCTTATTGCATAATTATCTTCACTTTCCTCGTGACGAATATCCCGGTAACTCCCTTCGCCACAAAAAGTTTTCATATAATTATTAAACATAGCAAAAAATGCCTCTCTACTTTTGTAGTATTATAAACGTATTCATCTCGATGTTTATTTATATTGTACATGGCGTCAACATATTTGCATAGATGACGTCAACAGATGTTACAAATATCCTTAGATAATCAATTTTGCAACAGGAGAACTATTTTCTCTGTGTGTGTCATACATGTATAACATCTAGTTAGCGTAGAATATTAGCAAAATGACTTCATATTATTTAAGTAGTTTTGGTCATGGGTAGGCCTTTATTTTATTTTGCCATTCATACTTATTTTATTGGAGGACCGTCGCACCGTCAGATGACATTTGAAACAAAGGGATGAAATGTTAGAGCCTTAGGGTCTATCTTTAAGTTACATGACAAATATCAATATTTTATTATCATTATTTGTCTAAAGGAATTTGATGATTATCATACCGTGTTCAAACATATTCGCTTGCGCCTAAAATGAGGGACGCCAACATACATGTACATGTATTAATATTTTTACTATTTCAGTCAGCTTATATAACCATTGTTGTTTTTTATTTAGGTTAATATTTCAGACAAAACTTTTATAAACGCTGAGGGTTCAAACGCAAAATGGCCCGTATTCGACACACGATCACTTTTTAAGTCATTTTTTTTAATAAAGCGGGACGATGGATGATTATCATTATGCTAACAAGCAGAGTGTGACACCAACTGTGGTTTCCTATCTGAAAGCTCAAAGCTGAAGTCACGTCACTATACAAAGGGATTTCGAATTAACTTGAGTATTCAATGAACAGAAAACGAGCAACCAGCAGTAAAGTCAACGCAGCAGTAAACAAATACCTTTGTGCGTATAGAGAACAGTAAAGGAACTAACCCTCTGCTCAGAGCAGGGAGACCATGGTATACCACTGCCTCTGTGTGCTAGTAAAGAACAGTAAAAGGAAGCAACATTCAGCCCAGTGCAGGGCGACAGTCGAGATACCAGTGCAGGAAGGCAGCCGTTATACCAGTGCCTCTATGTGCTAGTAGAGATTAATAAAGGAAGAAAAGCTCGGCTCAGAGCAGGGAGACAGTCGATATACCAGTGCCTCTGTGTGCTAGTAGAGAATAGTAAAGGAAGCAACGGTCGGCTGCCTTAATTTCTGTGCTATAAGAGTACAGGAACCAACAGTACAGGAACCAACAAAGCCTAGTACAGGAATAAGGTAACACTTTCATTACCTTTGTGTGAGTAAAGGGATTATACTAGTGCAGGAATGCTGTAAATATACCGGTATATTTGTGTGCTGGGAGACCACAACCATTGGAAACACAGTCAAGTGGAAGAAAAATTGCCAAACTTGAATGATTTGCTTTTTAATGGTAGCTGCACTAAAAACAGACTCTAGTCTTTGTTTGATCCAGTAATTACTTTTAGCAAAGGGTGACACCTTCCCATATCATGTTGCTGGTTCACACAATCTGTTTAACTTTCGAGGTAAATCGTATCCTTTCCAACAACTTGGAGTGTAGCCTGTTTTGTGGTCGTGAAATGGACAGTAATTGGTGTATCAAATAGGGCGTTCACCCTTCTTCTTTTAATTCCCGATTGATAAAATAGTTGCGAATTATCGTTACCAATTTTCAATTTCACACGTACAATTAAAATGGCTTCATCTACAGACGATATGTTTGAGACTTTATATTGCCGAGAGTATGAACACCAAATTCAAGATGGTGACAATGAAATAATGCCTTTTCCTGTAAGTGGCGTAGATCACCAAAGTGATGCACACCAAACCTTTGATGGAGACCAAGACAAACTTGACATCCTTATTAAACTGGATGAAGATCCCTATTACCAAGGACCAGGCACGGACCAGGTAGAAAAGTGGACAGAACTTAACCTTAGAGGGTTAAGATGCAGAATCCCCGACAGCATATCATGTTGTAAAAGCTTAAGGATACTTGATATTTCCAATAACAGCCAATTAGACAAACAGGAAATAGTGAAAGTCTGTGGGTTGGAAACCGTGGAAGAGTTAGACATGTCTAATTCCTGTATTACTGCAATGCCGCAAGACATAACCGCTTTTAAGCGGTTGACAAAACTTAACTTGTCCCAGAACCAATTGACAGAACTGCCTTTGCAATTGTGTCATCTCGTGAAACTGGAGGAGCTTGACCTTAACCACAACAACATAGCGTTCATTACGCCACAGGTAAAGCAGTTTTGCAGCTTGAAGAAGTTAAACCTCTCCAACAACCCTTTAGGAGAATTCCCACTTGAAGTGTGTAACATAAAAACGCTGGAGAATATTTCCCTTGCACATACTGGCATTACAACCGTCCCACAAAATATAACATTACTTGAAAACTTGAAGGGGTTATCCCTGTCGTCAAATTGTTTAAAAGAATTCTCATCGACTCTATGTGAACTGGAAGCATTAGAGACCCTCGATATTTCTAGAAACTACATCACTACGGTGCCACTTAAATTAAAACAATCACAGCGTTTGAACAAATTAAACCTGTCTCATAACCAATTGGAAGAACTCCCAATATCAGTATGTAAGTTGGTGAGACTGGTGACTCTTGACCTCCAGGGCAACAACATCACTACAGTGCCACCGCAGATAACACAACTTGTAAATCTGAAGGCAATGAAACTAACTGATAATAAGTTGGAAGAACTCCCACTGCAAGTATGTAAGTTAGAGAGACTAGAGACACTTGACCTCAAGGACAACCACATCACTACAGTGCCACCGCAGATAACACAACTTAAGAATCTCAAGGTACTTGACCTGTCAAATAACAAGTTAGAAGAACTTGCGCTGTCATTGTGTGTGTTGCTGAGATTGGAAGCGCTTCACCTCAGTGGCAACCACATCACTACAGTGCCACCTCAGATTCAACAACTTAAGAATCTGAAGGCATTTGACATATCTAATAACAAGTTGGAAGAATTTCCGCTGCCAGTGAGTGAGTTGGTGAGACAAGAAAAACTTGACCTCAGAAACAACAACATCACAACAGTGCCACCTCAGATAACNAAATAAATAGCATCCTAAATGATGAAAAAAAAAAAAAAAACAAATTGTTGTCTGTTACAGCCGCGGTCTGTGGGGAAGCAACCTGGGACCACTACGACTACAACTACAACTATCTCGACGAAATGGCCGAATCTTTCTGCACTTCTGTTGCTCCTGCAGCAAGTATGGTGTATGCCGTGAGGCGTAACTGCTCTGGGCAGACACCTACGTGTGACGGCGTGTGCAGAGCGCTTGCCGGGACTATGAGGGAAGATGTGAAAGGAAATATGGGATATAGCGGGTAAGTTTCTTCGTCTTTAAAGATTCAGTATTGTTATGTTAGCATGTTTTATACTACTACTACTACTACTACTACTACTACTACTACTAATGATAATAATAATAATTTATCCAGCTTACAAAGTTACATATTAATATTGCTGGCTGTGTATGCTACTGGACGACAGTTATAACTACTTGGGGCACTGAAGTTGCGGCGATATTATCGTATTTTTATTCCTTTAATAATCTATTTATATTGGCTCAGAAATAAACATGGACAGTAGGTAGCGGTTCTTGGATATCATGATAAGAATCTCCTTGAAACCATAAGTTTACTTTGGCTTGTCGGCATGGGCCAGTAATGCTCCAGTTTTATAAATCTGTATCTTCACAATTTCTCATTTCGTTTAGATCCGGCTGCTACGAGGCCATCCATATATACAAACAGAGACCTCGCTTTGCGGTTAACCATGACTATCCTCAACCGGACGCAATGAAGCTGGGGCTGAAGATTTATCGTTATGGACAGCGGGCTGGCTGCGGCTGGAAGGCAAACCACTGTGGACCAAACTACTGTTGCTGTAGAGTTTGGTGAAAAGCAAAGTAAACCGAGAACAGGCGAACTGAAATAATAAAGACATCGTAAAGAAAAGAAAAAGTGAATGCAGAATGCCCACAGAACAAAGCTGAAACAACTCAGTTTTAAACTTCAAGTCATAGTTTATAATGATGATAATTATAATAATAGTGACGATGATGATGCACTTAGACTGACAACCAAAAACTAACATTCTCAGTGAAAATGCAATAGAAATATGAAATACAAATTGGATTCAACCAAAATTATATTTCTGTGATAAAATACTTGGACTTCAGTGTAAAGCGATATGTAAAAATGGAATAACTCAAGATTTAAAATGTATTTTTTTGCTTGAGTAAAACAAAATATTAATGCTATAATTTGTAAAATCATATTAATTCGTCTCCTTTAATACTAAACAAAGACAATAAATCGCACACATGGACGGAAATGTGCTTGGTTTTGCTTCTTATTTTCCGTCAGAGGCAGTTGACATTCCGGAGGAGGGGTGAAGATTCCATGGGAGGGCACTTGACCGGGGGGGGGGGGGGGGGGGGGGGGGGGGGGTATTGTCATAGGGGATAATGAGATTCTAACTGACTTTTCAGATTTGTTGTGTCCTGTACATGTACATTTGTACAGAAGGTGTCTCTACTGTAGTGTTTAAGCCTAGGCCTATGGTAAAACCCTACTCATAATGCTACACTGATTTTAGAAGCCCTCGATATCAGAGGGTAACAACCCACAATCTGAAGCCCCATGTCCTCACGCAAACACGGTTATCGCACTTAAAGGACTTTTGAGGTGGTTGGAAAAATAGTTTATCAGAAGACCTTGATACAGTTTTCAGACTGTCATGAGGTGATCAACGTCTCCACGTGTGTTTGTGAGACCCTGACGAGCATTTTCATTTTCAAATTATGTGACAGAGTGTATACAAGGCGCAAGCATTATGGCTTAATTGTCCTTTTGGATCGATGTTTCCGATGGTAGTTTTGCATGAGACTGTTCTTCGGTGTACGAATTGTGGAGCCAAGTGATATTGCCGTAGTTATACGTTTCGTTTGTACACGCACAGCAGGAATTGTCGTAAATGAAGCCGACTTCATCTTTTTTTTTTTTTTTTTGCTTCGTTGATATTCTGGACGAAAATCCTGATTTTTGCTTTTAGAACTAATTATATGCATCAAAATTATTTTTTGATCGGAGTATTTAAAAAAAGTAGAGGCATCAGGACCATGCTGGTTATAAAGCATCTATAGGAGCTGTCCGCAAGTTAACAATGCTAGTCACTAACATTTTCGCATGGTAGTTCAAGGAAACTCGAGCGCAGAAGGTCAAACTGAAGGTCATACGGTGCAGACCCTTAGCCAGGGGGGTTAGGGGCGGTTCGAAAGAACACCCTTTTTGCTGGGAAAGGGTCCACTCTGGGTAAATATGATCTTAGTAAACCAAGGTTTCATGACAAAATGTCCATGTTTTCAGAAAAAGAACCCGCTTTTGCAATTGCTGCCTACGGGCCTAGATAACCTATTTTTCAAATTTCGCAAACAAAATTCAATACACTAACACCCCATTTCCATAGATTAGATCGACCTAACTCCCTGGGGGTTCACGCTAAACAGCTGTCAGCCAGGCGGACACGAAAGTCAATTACCTCCTTACAGCTTGTAGTAGGCGGGACGGACATTTAAGTCGGATTATCTGAAAGTAATCTAGTGAGACTCCCCGCGGGGATAGATCGATCAAAAATCTATGGGAATAGAGCCTAAGTATGTTATTTGTTGCTAGGGTGGATATAGGTGCAGGAAACGGATGAATACAATATAAATCATTACAAAGACTGCAAAGTTATTTTGTAATATGACATCTAGGACATAAAAATGATATCCTGTACGTAACCAATCAATATTTCGTCTGCTACTAGTATTATTCAAATAACATTCTAGTAATAGGCCCTTAAACAAATCCAAATGGGAAGTTGCATAATGTATTTATGTATTTTAAATGACTGATTCAAATATGGACGGCTTGGCATGCATGGTATTGAAAATTTCTGGCGCAGGTTGTATTTAATAGCATTTCTATGTTAAAGAAAAGCCGATGATCCATTTTGGAAACGATATGCAGTCATGTTGTTTTCTTTGGTACTGAGCTTGCTTGCCCAGGTTTCTGATGGCGGTTGAGGTATTTTACATGCCAGTTGGAAAACAGGAAGCAGCCTATGCAAAAAGTAAAGATGTAAACATGTGTATGTAATGTTGATGTTAACTAAATATTACAGGAAAGACATTGTGTTCAATACGTTTAACAGACTTCTCTTCTTTGAAAAGTTCCTATGTTTTAGTTTAATTCGTTTATTTCAATCGGCAAATCCTTTCTCGTTGTGTGTGTGTGTTACAGAAATGTTCATCATCTTTTGAAATAAGATGACGTCATATAAGCAAATGAACTTAGAGGTGAATAGCTTTGACGGCTACCGTTCCACCTACCGTTCCACCTGACTCAGTCTACACGTACGGGCCTGTTATCTAAATTCACATTCACAGGTTATCACGAAGTGATAGCCTATGACTTGTATTTATAGGCTATCACTAGGTCACCTCTGCCTCCCATACAGACCTTGATACTGTTTTCAGACTGTCACGAGGTCATCACCGCCTCCCGTCTCCACCATTTTGAAAAGACGTTTCTTCAAGCATAGAGGTGTGTGTGAGACCCTGGGGAGCTTAAAATTATATGACAGTAACTGAAACTGACGTCTTCTTTCTTATGCTTTGATATTCTGGATAAAAGGCTCTGCTGCTACCGATTTTATTTTTAGAAATAATTATATGCATCAAAATTGTTTTGGACCGGGACATTTAAAGGAGACACATCAGGACCATGCTGGTTTTAAAACATCTATAGGAGCTGACCGCAATGGAACATTTGGCATTGCACCTAGTTCAAGGCAACTCGAGTGCAGAAGGTCAAAGTCAAGGTCATACGGTGACGGAATCAGATAGTTGGACTTGTAGCCGTCAAAGCCATTCATCTTGCTTCTTATTTGCATATATAGTCAACTAATTTAACAAAGGTGACGAACATATTCTATATTTATACAGTAGGAAAGATTTTTCCATTGAGATAAACTAATCGAAGCACAGTAACTTTTCCGAAAAGGAAAAGCTGTCGTACGTTCTGAACACAGTGTGTTATAATTACCTGTAATGTTATAATTAATAAACCATTATTATTTGCACATGTTTACATCTTTACTTTTTGAGCAAGTTGTTTCATAATTTATTTGTGGCTTCCAGTTATCCAACTTACAAGTAAAATACCTCTACAGAAACCTGGGCAAGTAAGGTCAGTTCTTGGCGCTATGCTATTTTGTGTTTTGTTTTCATCAATCACACACACACACACACACACACACACACACACACACACACATGCAGATAACACATTTGGGGGAATACCGGTAGGCCTAATATCTCCAAACTTACAGGAGTGATCAATATTAATACAATACAGGTCGAGTTTGAAAATCGGCATGATCTGGCCATTTTTCTTAAAGTTATGCTGTTTTTTTAACATGAATTATACTGTCATTATGCAATATAGATACCACGTGCACATTTCATTGAAAACCATTTAATCTCTTGTCTCCAAATTTACAGGACTGATGAATATATATATATATATATATATATATATATATATATATATATATATATATATATATATATATTGATTTGCAACTTTTTACAATAAAAACAAATAGTGGTGAGATGCAGAATCTTAAAATATACTTGTAAGTGTTAAAATGATTCGATACACATTAAAAGTTCATAAAAGCCTCAGTTCTTAAAATTTGATAAAGCCCATGGGATAAAAGTTTTTGACGATCGTACACTCCTCAGTTTTGGCACAGTGTACTTATAAACCCGGCGCAAAGTGTAGGAACTTTCATTTATCTCTGGTAGCAAATGATGGATTTTGTGTCCTTAGAGGCAGCTCGCATTTGAAAACAGCCTGATCGAATTCCCTTTTTAAGTAAGACTTCTTTTTGCTCTTTTTCAACATCATGGAATTTACACGGTATGAGATTGATTTTTCATGAGCAGGGAGGTCTTTGTTTGTCGCATTGTTTGAAAACCCATGATGTTTTTACCATACTATAAACATTGTTGGTGTTTATGCTGTCAAGCATTATTAATATTACAGCAAAGTTGAAGAAAAAAATATTTTGGCATTAATGTCATAATGACCATTAAAGGAAAACTATGTAACTTGCGCTTTTCAAATTTACAGAAAAGATTTATCAGAAATGCAGCTTGAGTTAGAGACCAAGTCCGATTGCATTCTTTTTTTTAGAAGTACTGCTTATTTTGCGGAATTTTCATTTTCCACATACTGGTATTTTCAGCATGGGAATTTGAACTCCCACGGGCATAAAACCATATGGTAGTTTAATTTTCTAATGGCCCATGTTTAGTCAAAAAAAAAAAAAAAAAAAAAAAAAAAAAAAAATGGTGGAGATAATGCTGTTAATCATTACGTAATATTGCATCAAAATTGTCAGAAAAAATCCTATTTAGATTTAAACACATCTGTGAGATTTTGCTCTCATTTTACGGATATATACAACTAGGACATCATGCATAATACAGATCTCGGTGTTTTTTTTAAAGCGGCATACAAACCGAGGGAGAGTGCTATCATAATTGTTGAGATGGTATAAGAATGGTGAGTAAAATTGTTTATCTAAAATAATCATCACCAGTAGATGTGTATATTGTTCTTCAAAGTGCATTTTAAACTTCGTTTTTTGTCCGTTCTAAGTGTTTACAGGCTCTGCTGTCTTCGAAAACGGCCCGCGTACCTTTTACAACTAATACTATCAGGGCTACCTTAAAGATGCATACAAAGTCAATTTTTTGTCACAAAAACCAACCAAATGCCAGCATATAGTTTCAAGTAGTATTACTAAGAGAATTACCAAAAGGCATTGTTTAATTTTACCCCAAAATGATGTTTGAATGGATTTTGCTGCTAGCATTCTATGCTGTATGTCAATGAGGCAGAAAAGTAGGTCACGAAAGTAGGTTACATTTGCGACCAAAAATTTAAAGAAAAGAGCAGTCTAAAGCTCTTCTATGGCTGATCGAGTAATCTATTCAGTTTATCCCTTGACATGTCGAATTTATTAGAGCCGTATAAGAAACTAGTAGAAGTGGTTTACATGTGTTACTGGGAATCCACGCTCCACTGATGCTCGGTTCGTATATACCTTTAAGCCCCCGTCACACTTATTCGGAATCAGCAGGAATCAAGCAGAACCAGCCGGAATGACTAAATTGAAAAATTCGTACTACATTCGGGAAGAAGTTTCAAATTGACTTAAATTCTTGAAAGAATGCCGTTGGAATACTCAGAATGCGCTTGAATCCGCCCAGAACGATTCGTGCGCATTTCGGCTGTATAGTATGAGCTCTCAAATGCAGCTCGAATGTAGTTGGAAAACTAGGAATATCAATAATGCTGTCAGAATGCGGTCAGAATATTTAGAATCCACTTCGAATGCCGTACGAGTGTACGTCGATTGCATTCCGGCTCATTCTAGCAGAATTTGAAGTGTCTTGCCATTTCGGTTCTCCTTCGAATGTGATCAGAATGTTTCAAATCCTGTCGGAATGCCGTGAAAATGTTTAGAATGCATTCTTAGGGCGCATTCCCATAGATTTTAGATCAATCTATCCCCATGGGGAGTCTCACTAGATTACTGTCAGATAATCCAGTTTAAAGGTCCGTCCCGCCTACTACAAGCTGTAAGGGGGTAATTAACTTTCGTGCCCGCTCGGCTGACAGCTATTTAGCGTGAACACCCAGGGAGTTAGGTCGATCTAATCTCTGGGATGGGATCTTAGTGCAGTTAGCAGGGCCGTAGCCTCCGGGGGGGGGGGGGGGGGGGGGGGGGGGCGGGGGTGGGGCGNTGCCCCCCCTGGCATTTTGCTCAGGCTACGGCCCTGGTTAGAATACTATTCAAATGCCATACTATCCAAAGTTTTTAACATGAGCAAGTCATTCGGGGCGGCTATATTTGGAATGCGCTCGGAATTTTTAGAATGCTCTTCGAATATCCAGGAACGACAAAAGAATTGTCTTTCCGACGGCATTCTTGCTCTTTCCGCCTTTAGTGTGACGGGGGTATTTCCAGAACAAACCAGTGTATCCATTGCATCATTCGACGTTGTCTCAGTGCAAGGGATCCTAACGTTTAACGTCATATTTACCTCTATTGACATGTAATATTGCCCTCTCTGTTATAACCCTACTTTTATTCGTGCAAGTTTCGTGTCGTGCTCCCTATCTTTTTATCCCTATTATGTGTTTAGTTTTTTTCTTCGCATCGTCCTCCGTTAATTAAATTATTGCAGCCACGTGGTACGCCTGCGCACTTGGCCTTCACCGATTGAAAGGGGGTTGAGCAGTTTTTCCACACTTCTTCCCGCCCGATAATTCATATGCTAGTATTTGCGTCACGTGACACACAAGGCATGTTACAATTGCGGGATGTAAATGTGATTTTAGTTCGTTATTTCTGCGTACTGGGCGCACGTTGAAAATTAAAGTTGAAATAGAAATTGTTTATTTGGAGTGTTTGGTGTTGTGAAAGTGCTGTTTGTGCATCATTTCCAACTAAAAACGATTGGTATGCCCGTTTATTTCGAGTGAGTTTGCTTGCAAACATTAACGGATTAATATGTTTACTATTTCAGTCACCTTATATAACCACTGTCGTATCTTATTTAGGTTAATATTTCAGACAAATTTTAATTGGTTTTAACACTGTCATTTCTTTCATAAAGCGGGACAACAATGATTAACATTGTGTGAACAAGCACAGTGTGACGAAAACTGTGGTTTCCGATCTGAAAGCCCAAAGCTGAATTCACGCCAGCTTCGCGAGGGGAAGATGATTTAGCATCCAACGTACAGAAAAGAAACAATCAACAGAAAAGTCAAGGCAGCATTAAACAAATACCTGAGAAATGTGCTTGAGAATAGTAGATGGAAAAATACTCAGTCCAGTGCAAAGACACAATCCACATACCAGTGCCTACGTATGCTAGTAGAGAACAGTAAAGGCAGCAACACTCAACTCAGAGCAGGGAGACAGTCGACGTGTCAATTAATACCTTTGTGTGTTAGTAGAGAACAGGGAAGTAACCAACATTCCCTCCAATACTGGGAGACAATCAAAATACCAGTGCCCCTGTGTGCTAGTAAACAATAAAGAAACCAACACTCAGCCCAGAGGCAGGGAGACAATCGACATGTCACTACCTTCGTGTGTTACTAAAGAACAGTAAAGGAGCCAACACAGCCTAGTAAAGGGGTACAGTGACCAAGAATCTACCTCTGTGCGACTAAAACGATTATACCAGTGCAGGAAGACAATAAATATACTGGTATATTTGTATATTGGTAGACCAGAATCATCGGAAATGCAGTCAAGCGCAAGAAGGATTTGTCCTACATCGTACCTATGGTATCTGGATGAAGATCCCTATTACCCCTATTCACATTTTACTGGAAACTTGCCAAGCTGGACTGATTTGCTTTTTTATGTAGCAGCACTAAACCCACAATGAACTCAGACTCTTGTCTTTGCGTGATCCACTTACTTTTAGCAAAGGCTGACACCTTTCTATAATCTTGTTGTTGCTTCGCACAACTACAAATAAAAAGGCAAGACACGCCCTTTCAAACAACACGGGGTGTAGCCTGTTGGGTGGTCGTGAAATGCACGGTAACTGGGGTTCTGAATAGGGCGTTCGTCCTTCGTCTTTTATTCCCGATTGATCAAATAGTTGTGAATGATGTTTGCGCATTTCCAATTTCATGTGTGGAATTAAAATGGCTTCATCTAAAGAAGATATGTTTGAGCTATTATATTGCCGAAAGTATGTTCACCAAATTCAAGATAGTGACAACGAAAATATCGCCTTTTATGTGGGTGACACAAATGAAAAGTTAGAACGCCAAGGTGATGCACACAAAACCTTTAATGGAGACCGAGACAAACTTGATATCCTTAATAAACTGGATGAAGATCCCTATTACCAAGGACCAGGCACGGACCAGGTTGAAACTTGGACAAACCTCAACCTTAGAGGGTTAGGATGCAGAATCCCTGACAGCATAGCACGTTGTAAAAACCTTAGGGTACTTGATGTTTCCAATAACAGTCAATTGGACAAAGAGGAAATTGTGAAAATCTGTAGGTTGGAGACTGTGGAAGAGTTAAACATGTCTAATTCCAGTATCACTACAATAACGCAAGACATAAACATACCTAAGCATTTGACAAAACTTAATTTGTCCCAAAACCAATTAACAGAACTCCCTTTGCAATTATTTAACCATGTGAAACTGGAGGAGCTTGACCTTATTCACAACAACATAGCGTTCGTTACGCCACAGGTGGAGCTCTTTTGCAACTTGAGGAAGTTAAACCTCTCCAATAACCCTTTAGGAAAATTCCCACTTGAAGTGTGTAACATAAAAACGCTGGAGAACATTTCCCTGGCACATACCGGCATTACAACTGTCCCACGAGAAATAACATTGCTTGGAAACTTAAAGGGGTTAAGCCTGTCATCAAATTGTTTAAAAGAATTCTCATCGCCTTTGTGTGAACTGGCAGCATTAGAGACCCTTGATATTTCTAGAAACTCCATCACTACAGTGCCACCTACATTAAAACAACTTCAGCATTTGAATAAATTGGACCTGTCTTATAACAAGCTTACAGCACTCCCCTTGCCAGTGTGTGGGTTGGTTACACTGGAGACACTTAATCTTTTGGGAAACAACATAACTGCAGTGCCTCCTGAGATAGCACTACTAAAAAATCTGAAGGAATTGAACCTGTCTCAAAACAAGTTGGAAGAACTCCCGTTGCCAGTGTGTGAGTTGGTTACACTGGAGACACTTGAGCTTCGGTATACCCACATTACAACAGTGCCAGCTGAGATATCACAACTAAGGAATCTGAAGAAATTAAACCTTTCTGCTAACATGCTGGAAGAACTCCCGCTGCCAGTATGTGAGTTGGTAACACTGGAGACACTTGAGCTTCGGTATACCCACATTACAACAGTGCCAGCTGAGATATCACGACTTAAGAATCTGAAGAGACTGAAACTGTCTTTTAACAATTTGGAAGAACTCCCATTGCCAGTGTGTGAGTTGGTAACACTGGAGACACTTGAGCTTCGGGAAATTCACATCACTACAGTCAAACCGCAGATATCACAACTTCAGAATCTGAAAGAATTGAACCTGTCTCAAAACAAGTTGGAAGAACTCCCGTTGTCAGTGTGTGACTTGGTGACACTGGAGACACTTGATCTTCTTAGCAACTACATCACCAAAGTTCCACCTGAGATATCACAACTAAAGAATCTGAAACAATTGAACCTGTCTCAAAACAAGTTGGAAGAACTCCCGTTGTCAGTGTGTGAATTGGTTACACTGGAGACACTTAGCCTTTGGGAAATTCACATCACTGCAGTGCCACCTGAGATATCACAACTTAAGTATCTGAAGGAACTGAACCTGTCTTTTAACAATTTGGAAGAACTCCCGTCGCCAGTGTGTGAGTTGGTAACACTGGAGACACTTGATCTTTCTAGCAATCATATCACTACAATGCCACCTCAGGAACATGTAACACAACTAAAGAAACTGAAGGAGCTGAACCTGTCCTATAACTGGTTGAAAGAACTCCCTTTGCCAGTGTGTCAATTGAAGACACTGGAGACCCTTGACCTCATGGACAACGACATCACTACAATGCCGCCTGAGATAACACAACTTAAGAATCTGAAGGAATTGAACCTGAAAAATAAGTTAATGCAGCCACCACAGGAAGTAGCAGATAGAGGAAAAGAAGCCGTTTTTAGATATTTTGATGACCTTATCAGAACCAAAGCTACAACGTCATCAAGACTCCAGGTGCATATCCTTGGTGAAATATGCGTAGGGAAGACAAGTTTGGTGAAAACTCTGACATCAGGTACCCCTTTCTTAACATCCATGGCAGACAGAACACACGTCATGGAGCAGATCGCGTGGTCGCCAAAGGAAGACGTTTTTCTCAACATAAACGATTTTGGTGGTCATGAAGTCTACAGAGTCGCACATAACTTCTTCATTACCGAGGAAGCACTCACGCTGATAGTGTTTAATCTCCAGGATGTATCCTCGAAATACATAGACACCATCACAAGCTGGATAGATAACGTTTACAGCAGAGCACCAGATTCAACTATATTGCTTGTAGGTACACATGCAGACTGTCTGAGCAATGAGCAGGAGTTGGATGCCAGAAAGAAAAAGGTTTTGTGTGATCTTGAATCTCACTTACGCGATAAGGCGTCTAAATTAAGAACAAGTCTGGAAGAATTAGAGAAGAGGACAGAATTCAAAAGCTCATATGCAGAGGCCTTCGATGAAAAGATGACGCGCATCAAAAGGCTAATAGAAAATCCACCACGTGTTGAGAAAAGTGTTTTTGTCACTAGTTCTCAAACTGGATACGGAATGGCCGAGCTTAAGGAGGAGTTAATCAGAACAGCTCAAGTAAAAAAATTGACACTGCCTGAGGCATGGCTGCAGAAAGTGGAGCAAATAGAGAGAGCAAAACAGAATGGACAAGATCCTTTCCTAACTCTGGACTCCCTTGACACAATGACAAAGAAAACACCTCCACAAATGCAGGGAGATGGCGATGCTCAACGAATCGAAGATGTATTGAATTTCTTACATGCTACAGGTGTTGTTCTTTGGTTCAGAGATAATCCATTGTTGAAGACCTACGTATTCCACAGACAAGAGGTTTTTATTGATATACTAAGAGCTGTCCTCTGCGAAGATATTGATTCAACTCTTGTGTATAATACTAACCCTTTCAACATGAAGTACAGTGAAAGGAAATTTGAATCAGCAAAGGAAGATGTACTGCGAAGAGGTATCGTCAGCAAAACAATGTTGGAGTGTTTATGGTGGCGATTTAACTTTGGAAGACGCGGCCTTGAAGCCATGTTAGAGTTGTTAGAGAATTTTGAGATTTGCTACCTTGTGAAAGGTGCTGATGAAAACCGATACCATTTCCCATGGCTTCTGACGGAAGATAGACCCAAATGTATTTCCTCAAAATGTCCATCTGTTCCATCAAAAGAGAAGTTGCAAATTTCGACTGAGATCCATTTTCCAACTGCCTGTCCCCCTGGTCTCTACGAGATGGCAGCAGTGCATCTCCACAGTTGTTTAGGACATTACAAATCAACACGTCAAGACTGGAAAGATGGTTTTTATGCTGAACTCGACAGCCAGTTCCAAATGTGGTTTGAAAGAAGGCTCAGTGGAAGGTCACCCAATGGAGTTCTTCGACTTTTCATACGTGGTGAAGATCCCATTCAACTGAAGAAGCACATTCTGGTGATATTTCAGGATCTTGTAGACCTTGTAGAGAGAGAATGTCCCGGTTCTCCTCGCGATGAATACGTGGTGTGTCCACACTGTGTACGAGAGGAGAAGAATCCACCAACCCTGTTTGACGCCCCTAAGTTTTTACTTAGTGTTCCCCTTGAAGAACCAGCACCTTATCATCCATGTCCTGAGGAAGACCCCAACACTTTGGCCTCACCAGACTTTTTCTATCCAGTTACGAAAGGTAAATACAATTATGCTATGATATCATATTCTCAAATTAGGTAGTGCATTGCCCTATGTATTAATATATCTATTCATCAACTTGAGTGAATTATAATCATTTGATATCAAAGATATTAGAGCAGGCCTTCCCCACTTGTGATTATATTATATAAGTATTCCAAAGCAATGTTTGCATATTGGTTATCGATCGTTTCTTTCGTTTAAATCCGAAGACATTTTTCTTTTCTTTTACAGGAAAAATGACAGCTGTGCACTGTACATCCCTTGACAAACACGCTAACCACACTGTGAAGATCATCCGTGGTACATTCAACAGTCTCCACAAGATACTCAGTCGACTTGGTAAAACTGGCATATTAACTGAGGAAGAAAAGGCAGCAATCCTAGAGCCAGATGCAGATGATAGACTTTTGAGTTTCCTTAAAGGCAAGAATGATTCTGCCTTTTTCATTTTTTGTGGTGCTCTTCACGACAGTGGACATGCGCAAATGGCTCGGATGTTGAGGTAGGTTTTTGAGAAGGCGTGCAGGTGCTGATTTCACAGTGGTACTTCGGTCCAAGCAAAAAATGGTCTCCTTTCCCCCAGTGTAAGTTAATATAACCACTGTTGTGATTCTGGCTCAACATATTGCATAATTACTGCCAAAATACAACATAGATACTTTAAAGGCAGAAAAAAGAATTGTCCGATTCATCTTAAACCCGCATATGAAATTGACTCAACTTATTATCTTTAAACGTACCCTATTTTTTCTATAATTCACATCAGGCTACCTGACTTGGCTATGGAGCTATCAGACGTCGCCCTCGGTGACGTATTGCAGAGATTGCTGGACCGAAGGGTGATATCAACGAAAGAAAATTACACCGTGCGACGTGAGCCAACCAAGGCACTTAAAGTCATAGCCCTACTTAAGAAGTTAAGGGAGGGCAAGCGAGATGACGAGGCAGAGAGCGCCTTCATTGAATTCGGTAAAGCCCTAGATGAAGAAATTGCCAAACGGAAAAACACTTATTAGGTATGCAATTTGTAAATATTAGATTTTGCAAAATTTTTCTAGTCATCGTAACAATATTATTATTGTTGTTGTTGTTGTTGTTGTTAATATGCAGAAGCTTTATTGGCATCAATAACTTCATCAGAGTAGGTAAGCATATTACCACTACTGCACACGTCACCATCTGTTAACTTGTGTCTAACCAATCCACGTTGACAGTGACACACGCACGACTCTACAATATAGATTTAGACATTACTGAAATATCACTTACAGTTTGAATGCTGGTGCTTATATATCAGACAGACTGGAACAATGTAAAATAACTTTATGATGCTGTTTATAGTTTGCAGTATTGAAGCTTTTATAAGTACTGTAATTAGGTTGTTGCTTTACATTTGTACAGGGATAGTACATGTAACTTACTAGTATATTTTATTCTTTAACATGGGCAAATACTGTACATAGTCTTATCTAATATTAAAATGTGTAGATATTATGCCACAGATAGCTCTAAACTGTAAATACTGAGACCAATGTAAATATTTGGTATTATTACATAATATTCATACGTTACTATTCTGGAATTTACTAAATACATCATTTATAGATATTTTGCATTTAATGCATTCGATATCACATACCTCTGAGGTCATCAAAAAAATTTTTGATGTTTTTTTTTATTCAATTGAATGTAATTATTTTCAGCTTGTACGAATCTTTTTTTATTGTAAAGTCTTGTAGGTAACTTTGTTTATACCACATTTTTATAGGAAATATGGCTACACCTTTGCTTTATGAGAAAACAAATGTTGTTGACCGAAGTAACATAGTCGGAAGATACACGAAGGCAGATGGCCTTTAGTAGAATTTCTATATTTGTATATTTTTTATTCATTAAAATCAGATGGTAGACATAAAAAGTAAAATATGTCCGTGATAAATAGTCAAGAAGGGGGTAATGTTGCGCAATGGGCATTTAAAATTGTAACTTTTAGGATGTTGATATTAAGATTTTAGTCTAATCATAAAATATAATATATAGGTAAATTAACATATTTATATTTTGAATTTTGGTGTAATATACGGTACTGCACACTTCTTCACACTCCCCAAAGCCATGTACTGCACACTCTATCATCTGCAGCACATGTACAGCACACTTTTCATTTTGCTAAGGGATGTTATTTTATTTTATTGCTCTACAATATGTGTTCTGTGTTGTAGCAATACCTATTTCTGATTGGCAGATATGTGACCAACCATTTAAGGCACGTGGAGGAATTGAGAGCACAGAATGCTGTTTGAAATGAATTTTAATCGTATTTTTGACACTTTTCATTGAATGTCGACTAACATTTATACTATGTTCACTCAAAGTGCTTTGCCCAACGGTGCGTTCCGCATTATTTTTGGTTGATATTACAATATACATTTTGCAGTATTTTCAGATAAAAATGTTGAATATTTGGAAAATGGCGTTAAGTCATCAGTTAAAAAACGTGGTTGATTTGATGAAAAGAATGAAAAAACGTAATGGCTTAAATGTGTTCTATTTAAAAAACATTTGTGTGTTGCTGCAGTGGCAGCTGTAAAACTAAACTATTTGTGATATTCTTCAGCAAGGGGTGGCATTTTGTATGAATGCCAATTGAAAATAACCAACTGATCTGCCAGTTCATAAAAGCCATTTTGAAGCTGTTTATTGGACAAAAGTTGGTAACTAGAAAGTGTATTTTGAAGTTGCAAAATGTTATTGATATATTCTAGCTACTTTGGAACTTTGTTTATTTTTACATTTTCATAATTTGTTTACTATAACTTTACTTTTTTTCTTTACAAAGAAAGCAATAACTCTAAAATGTTTTTGTAATAAGAATGATGTTCTTTTTGGAATGATGTTTTATAATTTGATTATAGATTTTGTTAAATTTTAGCAAAGGAAATGAGATTTTAAATCCCTTCATAAATTTATAAAATATCTGAATGTAGTATTAGTTTAATTTGTGATGTTTTAACCTAAACATATAGAGTTGAAAGATTAATACACGGAAAGTTAACTTAGGTGAAGAAAATGCTAGTGTTGAATCTGTATCTTGAAAAATAAATGAATAAAAAGTAAAATAAACTTAACAGTCTTTATTTTAAAACTTTCAAATTAAAATCAAAATTCAAACCAGGTGCCATCTTGAATTGGCAGCCATACTGGATATACATGTATTCATACTGTAGCTAACTGCAGGGTGTTCCAATCTAATATACACTTCATTCCTATCCCACTTCAAGTTATCTGTAATACAGTTTTGATATATGACGATTTTAATACTCTGTGGTTGGATGCATGGGAAAGTGTCCATTTGTTGATCAGTTAAAAAAAACTATTCTTAATCAGTTTATTACTTAGAGTCCACAACTAGTTATCTACCTGACTTTAAAAATGCATCCCATGGCTCAGGATGTTTCTTCTTTAAGAAATCTTTTTAGGGACTTTGATTGTTACCTAAGAAAAGAGAAAGAAAAAAATTACAAATTTAAATCATAGTGAAAAGGAAATGACATTAAATATAAATATATAACAACAAATTAAATTAAATAATAATTATGGTTTCAGATACATTGTATAAATTAGTACTGTAAATCTGCTCTTCGTCTAGTACACAAGATTAAATCATGGCTGTTCCACATTACAGCATTTGAATTTACTTTCATTTTATCATTTATAAAGTGATGTATTTATTGTAATATTCATCAACACTGATCATGAAATTAATCAGATTAAAATTCTAAATTAAACTGAATCTTCAATTCAATTCATTAAATCTTTAAACCATACATCTCATCAAAATAATAAACATTATAAACGAATATAACACAAAATTATAAAGACTTAAAATGTCTTACAGTTTTTACTTCATAGTATTCTTTCAAGCCCTCCTCTCCCCTGGAAAAAAGGGGAAACATTTTCAATCTTGGGAAAATATTTTAAAAAGCTATCCTATAAACATTAATTTTTGGTCCAAAAATAGCTTATAAAAAAAAAAAGCAGCCATGGCTGGCTTATGATGTTCCAGGCTGAATCCTTGGTATTCACTGCGTTGACCCTGCTGGCACAACAAATAATTTACTAGAAACAGTAAGACTGGGTTCCCATAAACCTATTACACTAGCAGGATCAATCTAACTCCAAAGGGATTCTTGTTAACTTGTATTCTGTTTAAGTGGCTTAAATGGCTGTTATGCCCACTGAAGCTGCTTGGGGGTAATTAACTTTCGTGCACACTTAAACTGATTGCATTTTACTACTTAGTGAGATAGATTGATCCTGGAAATGGTCCCTATACAGGCCTACTCAACTACCAGAGGCGGCACCAAAGGCTCTAGAATTCACCATAAATCGGATCACGCTGCCCGTTTTAAAGGTGTGTATCAGTATGCTTCTAAGTATCAGACATGGTGCGTGTGCCACGTCAGGTAGTTGGGTAGGCCTGCTACAGCACTCAGAAAGTGTAGACCTCTACCAAGGCACTCAGAGAGTGAAGTCGACCACCGCCAAAGCATTCAGAGAGTGAAAACCTCCACCAAGGCAGCTCAATTTGCATAATTATTTATCAGTGCCTCTCAGTAACTACCCAGATATACTCACAATTCCCTTCCATGGCCAGACTGCTTGAATCCACCAAATGGTGTCTGGGATGATATGCAGTCATAGCAGTTAACCCTGAAGTGAAAAAATGAAGAGTAATGTGCAGAATGCATAGAAATAACAGGGGCTTTATTCTCTCAACTTAATAAACAATTGTTTGGCATTATTAATTATGGTGAAAAAAAATGTTATTAAAATTTCTTTTGAAAGTCTGAACTCTGATCCTTGCCAAAATGCTATGTACTGCACTGTGAGCAAGTTAACCTGTACATAATTTTATAAGTATAAAATAAGAGTTGGTGCTACTGATTAAATTACTGATTGCAGGAGTAGCAAAACTAACATCACACATCTGCACGTATTGACAGACTAATGTACAAACAGGCGCATGCACACACACACATACACACTCATTATCTCTCTCTCTCTCACACACACACGCATGCATTCACAAACACACACTCACACACACATGCCTGCAGACCCAAACTCACCACATTAACCCAGCCTGTAAGCTCTGAGTCACAGTAAATGCATGCACCCACACACACACACATGCATGCACATGAAGACCCAAACTCACCACATTGACCCAGCCTGCAAGCTCTGAGCCACAGTAAATGCCTTGTTAATGTCTCTGGTGTGAACTCCAGCTGCCAGTCCATATTTACTGCTGTTTGCTTTCTCTATCACCTCCTCAAGTGTTTTGAACTTGAGGATGGTTTGAACTGGTCCAAAGATCTGCAAATCAAAATAGAAAAATAGAAAGACAGAAAGAGTGATAATGTATGTGTTAACAGATTTATTACCTTTGACAGACAGATGGACAAACAGGCAGATAAACACAAAATAACATTAAAGTCAATTTGAAAAGTCAGGCTTAAGATATTTTAAAAAACATCATTAACAAATTGTTACAGTATGTTTCTATTTTTATATATGATGCATAAAATAAACTTACTGGAATACTTTTTGTCAAAGTCTCAATTCAAATAAGACAAGTTCAAACAAGGATAGTCTTCCTCTCAATAAACTAATCACAATTTTGCTAAAGAAATTGCATTTTTTAAATTGACATGTGCACCAATTATGATCATAATAACTGTGAATTTTACCTCCTCTCTTGCTATCCTCATATCATCTGTGACATCTGAGAAAACTGTGGGTTTGACGAAGTATCCGACGTTTCCCCAGCGTTCCCCGCCGGCTTGGCAAGTGGCGCCCTCTTCTTTCCCGATATTGCAGTATTTCATCACCTTGTCAAACATCTCCTGGTCCACCTTCAGAGTGGAAGCAACATAAACATGATTCTGATATAATTTATGCGCTGACTGATTGATCCAAACTTTATATATATAAAGGGAAAACCATCCAAAACAGTTTTTGTAAATAAAAGGAAAACATTTATTAATGTGATGCAAAATGATACAATGTGTCTAATTTCTTCATGCATTGTTCAAGTACAGTTATTGATCAATGATGATGAATCATCTTCAACTTTGTCTGCAGCTACAGATACATAAAATATTTGTAGTTCTTGATTATTTTCTCACTAAAATGCCATATTACTCTAATCCATCAATTTTTATTCCATAATATAATGTAATTGTTCAAACACCATCAAATTTATCAAACACCTCATCCTCACCTGAGGGCCTTGCTGTGTTTTCTTATCATACGGATCACCCACCACTCTCTCAGCCGCCATCTTTGCACTCCTCTTGACAAACTCGTCGTAAATCCCCTCCTGAACATATGTTCTAGACCCAGCACAGCAGTTTTGGCCGTGATTGTTCATAATGGCAGCATGGGCCCAAGTCACAGCTTCGTCCACTGAAATGTGGGAACATTTCCAATTGTGCTCTCCAGATTTTTTTAAGCAGAAAAAAAATCACAAACAGTCACTACTAATTCATGGAGCAGTTATCCACTAGAATATGTTAAATGTAACATCAATTTCATTGCTGTTTATTTTTTCATCATGAGGGAGAAAAAACACTAGTCATGTAATCACATTCTCTTCTTTTTCATTCTGTCATCACCAGAGCAAAAACTCAAGTCCAAATTAAATGTTAACTCCTCTTCATTCTATCATTATTTTCATCCTTAAATCTTTAATCTTAAATGCTATTAAGGGCATAGGTCATCTCAGATTGAAAAATAAATCAATGCAATGAAATTAAAATCTAAAATAATTTGAGCTCACAATCAGCATCATCAAAGATGATATTTGGACTTTTCCCTCCCATCTCAAATGTTACCCGCTTCATGTTGCTCTTTGCTGCAGCCATCATCACTAACTGTCCAACCTGAATACAGCAAATTTATCCATATAATATATATAATTTGCACTTTTTGCATTCTAATTTCAAAGGATCTGTCGCAAAGAAACTACAGTACTAGGTAGTTCGAACTAACTCCACAGGAACTTGCAATGAATGTTATCAGACAAATATGCCTCCTCTTGTTTCTAACATGCTGGTATAATTACCAGCTTCTCTGTATTCTAGTCAACACCAGGAGGGTTGGTGTGTGTTGGTCTGTTAATTTAATTGCATTCTGGGATAATCCCATTGGAGTACCAGTTAGTTCAAACTACCTTGTACACGAGAGAGAGAGAGAGAGAGAGAGAGAGAGAGAGAGAGAGAATCAGACATGAGCCTCGGTTTAAAAAAATAAAAACCCTCTGAACATTTATCATAACATATCTTTTCAAATCTCAGGAATCATCAGAATTGAATTAAAAAACTCGGAATTCCACATTTTTTACGGAAAAAGCTCCTGTCTGTAGAATGGAGACAGAGAGAAGGAAGAAGAAAAGAAGAATCACCTCAGTGGACCCAGTGAAAGCTATCTTGTCCACATCCATGTGTTCTGCCAGGGCTGCTCCTGCAGTGGGGCCATACCCAGGGACTATGTTTATGACCCCAGGGGGAAAACCAGCCTTAAATTTAAATACAGCATATAAATAAGTATGCTTAGAATGTATTTGCATATTACCATTTTCAGGTCATCTTTGTGTATATTTTTCATTTATTGTATCAAAGTGGAATGATTTTTGTATAACACCATTTAATATAAATCTTTAGGTATACCATTATCATATGAACACATCTGAGTTAGTTTCCAATATGATGTAAAATTAATTTAAAAGTACTAAAAGAAAACATTTATCAGCTGTCTCAAAATTGCACTTGATACAGCTAAAATTTAATATAACAGATACGATTCACCTCCACAGATAATGCGGCACAGTAGAGGGCTGTCAATGGCGTCTGTTCTGCAGGTTTCATTATAATTGTGTTGCCGCAGGCGAGAGCTGGTCCCCACTTCCAAGCTACCATCATCAGGGGATAGTTCCACTGTATTAACACAAATTCACAAAAAAAAAAAAAAAAAAAAAAAAATCAAAGAAATGCATCTTTGTCATCCAATCTTTGATATACAACTATGCTGAGTTACACAATTGGTTAAAAGGTTTGGACTGTTAAAATTTACTGAGACAAAAATTTATGAACTTGTTGATGGAGTTGTTCTAAGAGATAAAGGAGTTAAACGTGCTTTCTGGGATTAAAATGTATCTTTAGAAAATCCAGTGTAAGCACTGAAGGCATGCAACTCTGTATGGATAGGGGGGAGGGAAAATGCAATACCCATGTAATATCCAAATTTCCGAATAAATCTGGGGGATTTTTTATCTCTATGTTAGTACCTGCTGTGCAGAGAGCAGATTCAAAGAAAGCAAGGGCCAGAATGAACTCTCAAATATGAAATGTACATGACCCCTTATTATGATAACGAACTCCCCTGCTACTGCAAGCCTTATTAATGGATAAGACTGTATAGGGGTGGGGGGGGGGAAGGGGGGCAAATGGTGTATCCCAGGGCAAGGGGGGGGCAGTAGACCACATGGGCTGTATACATGTACCTCAGGAAATTTTTTGTGTTTTGCTGCACCAAAACCTCACACAAGGTTCCCCATTAAAGAATATTTAATGATAGACATTTTGAAAACCGAACAGCTATAACTGCATCTTATGAAAGAGTTAGTACAAAGTGTTTTAATATAGAATAAACAAAATAATCAATAATAATAAAACGAAAAAAAAAACCCATAAAATAAAATAATAACATACCGGGATAATCTGGCCACAAACTCCCACAGGGTGAAGTTTAGTGTAGGAAAAGAAATCCCCATCTACAGTAAAAACCATCATAAAAATCAGAAACAAATGAGTTAGAATATTAGTGGTTATACAGTACGATCCTTGGAAACAAAACATAAGTAAACTAAATTGTTTATACTAAGAAATTCAAGTTACTAATATTAGCAACTTTTTCAGGAAATGATGATCTCGTCTAAATTTACAAAGTTAGTAACAATTATTTCTTTCTCCAAACATTGTGTTTCTGTAGTTCTTTTTCCATATTATCTACTTTTCAGTAATTTACTGACTAATCATAGTTCCTGGTCCTTTTTTCACCTTTTAGCTGCAAGTTATCAACCAAACAATTATTAAAATCTCTGCCAAACTAACTAATAAAAAAACAAACCAAACAGTTAATCACTTTTTCTAGCAAGCAACCAAGCACCCCCCCCCCCCAATTCATTAATTAAAAAAATGAAACAAACTATCATGGATTCCCTCATTGAGCAATACATGCACTCATTATTTTATTCATCCATCCATCCATCCATCCTGCAAACCAGCCAGTCAACAAACCAGCCAGCCAGAGCCCACAGAACAGATGATCCTAGGATCTACTGATCTGCAGATCAAATATGGCTGACCCATCATAAAAGGAAGCCACTTAATATCCTAATGGTATCATCACCCTCCACACCTGCCATTAAACGGTTTAAATCTCGGCTCCGAAGCTTAATTGCCAGGCCCCTGCAGGGACGGCATGTGTGGAGGCTTGGAGACCTGCGACTACCTTTTACAATGGGTCGGCCATATTTAATCCGCGGATCAGTAGTTCTGAGGATCATCTGTTCTGCATGCGCTCAGAGAGACAGCAATCGACATGACAAGGGATTAACATACCCATGGGGATAGTTTTCCCATGTATCTTGTCTGCATAGCCAGCATAGTACTTAATGCAGTCAATGGTCATCTGCAGGTCTCCCAGGGAGTCCAGATATGGCTTTCCATTGTCCAGAGTCTCCAAGCTCTGAGGAATATAATTATTTAAGACATAGGGGTGAATTATAGGCTTAAAATGATAAATTCAACTGTATTCATATTGTATACGATTCTCTATGAGCATAAAATCTGAGTCCATGTTATTCACTTCTAAGAATAGGTAAAGTAAAAACAAACAAACAAATAAACAAACAAGAAAGATATATACAAACTTACAGCCAGGTAAACTTTATCTCTCTCCATCAGCTCACACAACTTGACCATCAGATTACCTCGCTGTGAAGCGTCCATTGTTCTCCACGGGGCGTCCAGGGCAAAGGCATCTCTTGCCGCCTTGACTGCCTTGTCTATGTCCGCCTAAAATGAACAAATCAATATTATACACATACAATGTGCACATGCATCCCTTTCAACATTGATAATGTCAATCTAAATTACTTTAAAATACTTGAACAAATGTGATATAAGACATTAAATATACAAGAAGACAAAAAAGTATATTGAACAAAATTTTAAATATATAAAGGGTCATCCATTTCTGAAATTTTTTTCACAAGTCTACAAACTATACACTGCAGGGGAAGTTTTGGATGATCCATAGCATGCAATAATAAAATATATTTGTAACTATACTTATGTTTGTGTATTACTTGCAATATTGTCTATACCAGTAATTATTATTGCGCCACTATCACAAAGTGAAAAAATCTTCATTATCTATTATTTTCATCCTTTTAATATTATTTTTTTCTTTTAAATTCCCCCACAATATACCTTATCTCCCTCCTGTACGTCACATATCTTCTCACCAGTGCACGGATTGATGGTAGGAAAAGTCTTCCCACTGACAGAGTCATGCCACTCATTGTTGATAAAGATCTGAATTTGTATAACATAATACAATTAATCATCATAAAACATAACAGTTTTAATACAGTTTATAATGAAAATGTTTTTGTGTCTTTTTTTCACTCTCTTTTTGTAACAAAAATATTTTAGCCCAATGTAAATGTCAATTTTAAACCACAGTGAAAAAAAAAGAAAAAAAAGACATGAAGTGACCATATATATTATTCCACAAAGGCCCCAAAATGGACAATTGTACATGCACTTGGCTGACCTTGTCTTGTATCCTATATTTCTGGCCTGTATTTAACACACAATGCCAAGTAAAAAATCTTGATGTATCAAATTTCACCCACAGTTCAAGCAAGAATGCCACACTCTTCCAGGCCAGGGTCACATGTGCACTAGTGCATATTTAGGTATTTTGCATTCGAGTCCTTGAACCCTGGGTTGAACTTTAGTGCCTTTACTTGACTTTGGAGACATAATTTGAATAAAGGCAAAGCATACGTACTGTACTACACAACACAAGTATGTATGCACAGATTACTGAATATATACTAGTACATATATCCCAGTATGTGTACATACAGTATGTTGTACAACTAAAACACTTTTGTATACAAGCACTCACAAATTAATTAAAATGCACACACATATGTGCATGCCCTTCATATGCCCATCAGACCCATATAGCTTGCCATTACAGCTTATACTGGATAATATAAAGCACACATACACACGCACACACACGTACACACGGGCACACGTACATGTGCAATAGTCATACGTACCTTGGTATATTTGATCTCTGGAAAAAGCATCGCCTCCTGATCAGACATCTTTAAATTTAATCACTCTGCTTGCAGCTTATCTACAGTGCACCTAAAAAGTAAGTCAGTGGACAAGATATAGGACTCACGAGTGTGCTTTACCTTTAATCACATCTATACTACATGTACAGTAATTATACTGGTATGAACATACCTGTACTGTACATGTATTGTACTAGCACTATACAGATACTACTTGCAACTTCAACTTAAAATACTTACAACTATCACGTGCACAAGGGCCAATGCGATGTTTGCACTCCAGACAACACGTTGCAGAACTTGCACTAGCCCAGCTCACCAGGCAGATAGACAACCGCGACGCTGAGCCGACCTTAGTGTAATCAAGCAGACACCCCACTGACCTAGTTTCAATATACGTGCCCCACTTATGAAATCGAGGCCTGGAAGCGCGTGTTTCGTTTGAGCGTGGTATATAAACAGTCTACATGAGTCTACATGGATATATGTAGAAATATATATTATGTCCGCTGGAGTAGGCCTAATCACATCCAATTTTATTATTTATTATTCAATGCGATGTATAGTCTCCTATAAACGAGTATAAATAGATAATTAAACAAACAAACAAATAAATAAATAAATAAATAAAAATAAATAAATATAAATATAAATATAGTGAATGAATGAATTAATGAAATAGAATGAAGTACTTAATTAACATTTCACATTCACATCGTTTTGATGCCCAGTAATGGATATAATATTAATTGTTTCTAGTACTTTTTAGCTTGGTTTTCAGCTTGAAGCACAATCCTTCGCATCGTCAGCTTGAGTCAGTTTGTAAAAGCAAGGAAGATAATTCCTTGGTAAAACAATTAAAACAGCAAGCCATAATGTTACAAATATTTTTTCATAAACGTTCCATGCATCAAAAGTATTGACAGCACATATAGAAACTTAAAAGCTAACTTAATTATTATTATTTAATACGAATCCAGGAAATAAAATGATGAAAAAAAATCAAAACTCCGTTTCCTAGCAAAGACCTTAAATTTTTAATGAATGAATGTGTAATTTTGAACCTGGTGTCTTTTACGCGAGCATGGCAATCATTTTGATTTTAATATATAAATCAAAGTTATTTGAATTTGAATTTGAATTCGAGCAAGAAGTTCCCATGCACTCCTTGATTTGAGATGCAGGTAAATGTATTTGTCGGGAACTAAACTTTGTGGAACGAATTTTCGCGGAAGTAATCATTGACTGAGCTCACGATTGCGCACGCGCCATTACCCGGCGGAAGCGGGATTCCAGCTGAGCAGCAAGCCAAGTAACAGGTAGTCTAGTCGCTTTGAATTAGCTTTCCGCACACATATTTTAAGCTATAGATTAAGAGCTGATATATCGTGTGTAGTGTGTAATTTGTGAGTGTGTTTAGTTGAGTTTAAGTAAACTTATTTTGCCCCAGCGAAACTTCAACTCCTGGGACAACGTGACTGTTTTCGGTTGTCGATGTAAACAACCTCAAAGCGGCAATCTTACAGTGATTTATGCACGCGATATTCGTGACATTTTAACTCGAATTTAAACATACGATCCATGGATTTTGTTCTCAATCCAAGGCCTTTAAATATATGAATGATGAGTGCATCTGTTTGGCGTCTGTTTCTGTGAGATCGATACTAAGTTGAAATTGAATGTAGCAGCACAAAAATCCATGCGTTACCATTAGCACTAGCACTCCCTCTCAAGTTTACATTTCCTGATGCTGTCATGTGTACTGTATGTGTTTATGCATAAAAACTCCGACAAATGACTGTCAAAAGGAATTTTACGATAGAACTGCATCTTTGTTGTGTGGGCTCTCCAGTGTTGAGCTTACCCTGACTTTTCCTCACTTTGCACACTGCTGACTAGCCAGTAAACCAGTTTTGCTGTCGCTGTATATAAGGTAACATTTATCTTCTCACCAACTAAGAGTAAGATTCACTTTTGCTTTTAGAAAAGTACTCCCATCTGAGTGCTTACAATTGCTACAGTTTTTAACAAAGAGCCTGCCCTAGCATTGGGAAATAATCTGAATTGAGAAAAAAGTAATATAGGTTGTGTTCACATTTTCCAAAATGGATGATGGCAATAATTCTTTATTATAAGTTAGTACCTAAGCAGAAACTTGCTTTTTGTAAGTATTTGAAATTTTAAAAAAAATTGGGGTAATTAAATGTTTTTGAATTAACTTATTATTCTGTTATTCTCCAATAATCTTGATCATGGATGTATTTAGAGTTTGGTGTTCGAAATTTGTTAAATTTAACCTTATCATGTTCTAAGAAGCTGTTTATCCTAAGCCCTTCTCTTGAATGCCAAGCTTCCTGGTTCTTAATTTCCAATTACGTTGAAGATTTGTCAGCATTTTGCTCCCTGTTATTATGCATTTTGATTACTGACTGGTTGTAATCCTGGTATTAAGTCGCGATCACAGTAATCCTATAGAATCACTAGTGAGTAGTACGGCTTAGACCACATTCCCATAAACAACATCAGTCCATGTAGATCGATCCGACTCTGAGGACACTCAGCGTAACTGAATGACACGCCTCCTCTTGTTTCCAACACACTCGTATGGGCACCAGCTTTTCTGTATTCTTCTTAATATCAGGAGGTGGTGGTTAATCTGTTTAACTGATTGCATCCAGCAAGAGTCCCTGCGGAGTTGGATCGATCTACATAGACTGATAGTGTGTATGGGAATAGGGCCTAACTTGGGTCTAAGAAAGTGGAGGCAAGAGATGCCCATGGTGTTGTTATGCATTATTGTTTAATCTGTTACTCAGATATTGTAGTTAGAACTAGGAATATAAGCAAGGAGACTTCCTTTGGCTTGATATTAAATGGATAGTTACATTGCTTATATTAGTTTTTTTTCTTTTAGTATATCTCCCTTTTTTCATACAAATGGTGGACAGAATAAAGAGAAAATAATGATGAAACATACTATGTCATTTATATAAATCTGCAAGTAATAATATTTTTTAGTGCATTGAAATATATCTATAGTAAGTACAGTTACTTCTAATGGATGTAATAATTTATAAACCCTATTGAGTGGATGATGCAGCACAGTATTTTTTAATCAAAATATATTTCTTTATTAAAAAAGCATTCTTTGGGTCTTACGTACAATAAAAAGGACAGTGAACTGTAGTAAGTACTTCTCGTCAGTCTCTGTGTGATTTTCTATTCTTAGAGAGCTCTGCTCAAAATTTTATTAAAAATCTTGTCCACAATGCGAGGCGTTTCAGAGGGCACTGGGACTGGCAGCTCCACACTGATAACACTAGGAGACCATTCCCAGAGACTATCGCACTAACTTTGGATCAAACTATCTCCAAGGGATTCTCACTTAATTGCAACTAACCTGGGCGGCTTAGATGTCTGTCGCGCCTGCTGAGGCCAATGGGTAATTAACTGTCATTTAGCAGCTTTAGTGGGCGTCCCAGACGTCTAAGCCGCATGGGCTAAAAGCAATTTAGTGAGGTTCTGTAGCCTTCGGACCTCAGGGTGGATGATGAAGGGATAGTACTGGATTAAATCTATCTCATTGGATGATTTGTTTTCATCTCTGTACGACTAGCTGTTAAAAGACGAGATGGCAGGTGTTTTCTCCTCACAGAAGCCATTGATCTACGCATTCTCTCCGTAAAAATGTATCATTATTATCTTCAGTGTAAAGGAGGTTTCAGAGCCAATTTCCTGACTGCCTCAGAATGCTCTTAAAGCAGAAGATGGCTCTAATGTGAGGCCTCTTAATGAGGGTTTCTGAATCTTTCATAGGTTTCTTCCTTCTTTTGACTATTTCCTCCATTCTCTGCTTGATTTCATTAAGAGAGTAACTCAGTTGCTAGGTTTTTTATGAAATTATCCAAACAGAAGCCAAGCATGTTGGGAGGGTTCAGTAAAGGAAAAGCGTTTTTCTTTTTTAAGCATTCTCGTTTCCTTTCCTTGTTGAAGATCCTCTAAATTATTAATATAATTTGGTTGTGGACAAATGATTATTTTCACCATGTACCAAAATAACTGAATTTATTTGTCAGAGGTCTTTTACATATATAGATACTGCAAGTTTAGAATCTCTCCTTTAGGGCTCATTACCAATGAAACTACCATTCTGTGTAGAACAATCCAACTCTGTGGGACTCTTGCTGAACGCAATCAAGTTAACAGATAAACACACCTCTTGTTTCTAACATACTTATATGATCACCAGCTTTTCTGTACAGTCTGCTCAACGCCAGGATGAGGCATTCTCATCTGATTGCATTCAGCAAGAGTCTCCGCAGAGTTGGATCGATCTACGTAGAACGATACTTTTATTGTGAATGAACCCTTGGTCCATGTCAGGCCCGTAGCCAGGGGGGGGTTCAGGGGGTTCGAATGAACCGCCCCTTTTGGTGGGAAAAGGTCCACTCTGAGTAAACTTTGATCTAGAATCATGAAGTTTTTATGGAAAAAGGTCCACTTTTTCAGAAAAAGAACCCCCCTTTTGAAATTGCTGGCTACGGGCCTGCATCTGCTTGTGTAATATGCAGAATTACACATATCCCAGATATTGACGGCTGCTGCCCATGCTTACACCTTTGACATTATCCTCAGAATTATTGAGCTATCTACAGTAATTACTAGACAGTAGGCTCTCAGAATTCAATATCCCCTTTGTAACAACATGACCGTGTCTCTTCCATATCCATTCTGCTTGGGGGCCGACGCGAACATGAAGAAGGTAAACCTATTGTTGTTGTTGTTCAGAGATAGAGAGTTAATTAATTTATATGGTTGGCTTTATTTCTCTCTTTTTTGATTCCTTTTACTTCAAGCATGCTGTACTATATTGTAGATACTGTATTACAGTTTCATAGGTGTGTTTTGCTGCTGCCGACGCTGTTAAGATTTGACATACCATACATATATATTTCAAATTAAAAAAGATATTTTAATATTTGGTTAAAGCAGTTAAAAAGTGAAGTGGTTATTTTACAGTCTCCGTCAAACCCGATGCCAATGTAGAAATTTGAACAAATTCTTATTATTAGTATTGTTATTGGCAGGAGATACAGATTCATTGTAGTTCAGCATATTACCCTGCTATTCTTTGACATTTGGATTTTTTAGTAAGAATGCTATCAGTTTCTCTCTCTCTCTGTCTGTCTGTCTGTCTGTCTCTTTCTCTCTCTCTCTCTCTCTCTCTCTCTCTCTGTGGAAACTACCATGTGGTTCAGACGTATATTGTTATCATTAGAGTTGACAGGTGCTCTTACATTTGACTCACACACAGGAATTACCCAGGCTGGCTGGAAGTCTTTCTATTACTAGTATATAGTTGGGAAGATTTTCTATGTAACAAGAGTGCATTCTCTT